TGTGTAAAGGACAGACAGGCAGAGAGGATGTGGGTGTCATACTGCAATGTTAAGATTAGAGGAGAGAAGGACTTGTACAAGAGGCTAAAGTAGCCTGAGTATGAATAAATGTATTTAGTCTTGTTGTTGTGCGCATTCTGTCACGACCACACAATGGTTTATTTGGTCTACCTTTAGACCAGCTTCCAACCCAAAAGAGATCTATACTATAACTAACTGTCTTATAATGCCCTAACATATATACCATTAAATATTATGAACTTTGTCAACTTTTACTAATACATCTTATCCATTCCACACCTTATAATATCATAGTTGACCTATTATAAACATATAGCAGAAAACACTGAACTGCATTATATTAGAGTAGACTATACTGTACACAAATGTCCTTCACTACTATCTGTGTTCCTGCTCTTTTTGTTTAAGAGTAACCAGAAATACATTCCTGTACATTAATGACGTTCGGACAATATCTTCACTGGTCAGTCTGTAACACAATAATATTCTCATACACCAGCTGGGTCCCTCGCTGTGTAGAACAGAAGAGACACAATCATCAGAAACAATCAGGGCGTTCACAGTTTGAGCTCGGACCATTTATCTCTTCATAAGCTCAATCAGTTCTGAGGAGAAATGTGATCTGACCCAAACAACCTCCAGGCTCTGATATTAGATTAGCAGGGGAGGCTAGCGTTTCAGCTAACCAAATCACAAAGGGGCTAATGACACCAAGAGGTGAGGGTCAGCCTGACCTCTGGTCTCTGACCTCTATCTCTGCTGCTTTGGACCCTTCATAAGGAAAATAGTTCACTTTTCCCTACTATAAACAAACAGGATGAGGAACTGATGTCCAAAAAAACTTCTGCAATTGTCATTCATATTCTACAAGAAATCAGCTGATAATGCCTGCAGGGTTCTAAATCCTGGAGGAGAGAAAATGATTGCCAGCAAAGAGGAAATATGAGTGTGTGTGTGTGTGTGTGTGTGTGTGTGTGTGTGTGTGTGTGTGTGTGTGTGTGTGTGTGTGTGTGTGTGTGTGTGATTGTGCATATGTCAGTGTGTGAGGGAGGGGGTGATGGTGTTGTGTCCGGCAGGGACCTTTGCCCTCCCTGGGGTCACCCCCTCCATCAGAGTCAGAGATGAGATAGTCTCTCAATCTTCTCTCCAGAGTGGAACCACATTATTGTTCCTCGTAGATATGAACAGGTTTTACATTTGGCTGCAGCAGTTTTGTGGTAAATTGAAGAAAAATTCAGTTACCATTATCCTGAACAATGGTCCAAAAGACAAGAGAATAAATTAAACATAACATAAAAGGGCCAGAAGATATTAAACTAATAATAAAATAAGAACAGATGACTCGAGCTAAGGCTTGGATTTGGGGAGATGGAACCAGAGGATATGTGACTATTTCACACAAGGTGACCTCAAGTGAAGCCAAAGCGGAGCTAAAAACTGCAGTACCTACAGTGTCCACTTGAGGCAGGCTGCAAGAGCCAAGAAATCCTAGGTACCATATATAAATGTCACATTTTTGAACATGATTACAGCCAACTAAAAAAAAACACTTATTGGGTCAATGGCTCTTTTCTTAATTGTTGAGATGGCTGCATTTTTTTTAGAACTCCTAAATCCTTTTTGATTTCATTAAGCCTAGGAGTGTTTCATAAATGTGCAAACTTAGGGGCATAGTTGAGTGAAATGGCAGATGAAGATTACCCTTTTATTTTCTCTGATCAAGTATTGGTTATTTTTCAGTATGGCAAGGCAGCAAAACAATGACATGATTTCCAATCAGGTATACGTTGTGATGCAGCAGTGTCATTCAAAACTAGTGGACTATTATTCTTAAATTTGTTTAAAATGAATGATATACCAAACCCTGAGTTTTTCCGACATAAACCTCAAGTCCAAATAAATCGAGTCTTATTACTAATAAATAGAATGTTTTTAGTTTTTCTGATTCTGAGCAATTGTCCATTTATGTTTTGCAGGATAACGACTTGTATTGTTTTTATTTGTATTCACTTTTTTGTTTTGATACTTAGGAAACACATATTACTTACAAATGCCATGCCAAGAGAGATTCAATTAACCAAATATAGTGTGTGTGTGTGTGTGTGTGTGTGTGTCTGTCTGTCTGTAGGTGTATAAGGACGACGGGGCTGTGGATCTTAATGACATCCCCTGACACTGCTAGGGTAATAATTATAGCACACACAGGTTTACGTGTGTGTGTGTGTGTGTGTGTGTGTGTGTGTGTGTGTGAGCTCTGGTTTGGGAGGTTTTGCAGCTGTGGCACCAAGCAACAACTGTTGTCACCTGCACTTCCTGAACTCTGTATTTTTGTGTGTGTGCTGTTTGTGTGCGCGTTGTGTGTGTGTGTGTGTGTGTGTGTGTGTGTGTGTGTGTGTGTGTGTGTGTGTGTGTGTGTGTGTGTGTGTGTGTGACAGGGGACACAGGAGACTGAGGTGATGAGTCTATCGCTGTGGTAACAGCCTGCGGCCAAGTGATTCTGTTGCTGTCAACATCTCTGTCGTTTTCCTTTGTCTCCTCCTCTGATCTCCTCCTCTCCTCTCCTCCTGACCATGTTCCTCCCCTCATCCTTTTCTTTCCAATGGCCTTTATGCCTTCTTTTCTTCTATCCTCAATTTCTACCTTTTCCTTGTTCTTCCTTACTGTAGAGAGGAGGAATGACTACCTATTACTCTTCAAACGTACATATGGTACATCAGATAAGTGTTGCGCAATGAGCGTCATGTCAAGCTGCAAGTTGATTCCGTAAAATAAATTCCCCTTTGAAATAATGTAAGAATTTTCTTCCTTTTTTTTTTTTAAATCTATATTGTTCTATGGCAGGTTCCCAAAGCCTGAGGTGAAGTCTTGTTCAGCTTTTCAGATGTTCCGCTGAAAATTTGTCATTTCCTTGTTAATACGTTGTTCTTATATCAGCGTTGAAATGGGGCACTTTCCCGCCAAACAGCAAAAAACATAAATTATCATAAAACTCCTTATTTATCTGATACTGGTGTCAGTAAAAACCCTAATTTCTTGATCTTGGCCTTAAAGAGCTGCTGTCTCTTTAAGGCCATCCTCCCCACTTTCTCCTGATTGGCCAGCTCTCTGGAAGGGGCAGAACGCTGCAGGGCTGCCAGGGGAGGGGGGCTGCTCTCCAGTGCTGGGAGAAGAGAGCCTTTGTAAGAGGTTTCAACAGCTTACGCAGAGGCTTGAAGCCGTCTCGTGGAGTTCTTGGTTTCATATTGGGGAAATATTGTGTGATTTGCAGGGACAAGCCGCTGAGCGCCCTCTACAGACGTATCCTGGGATTTCACCAACATATGTTTACCTCATGAGCTGAAACTTTGCACTCATTTAGTTTGGGCATCCAGCATTGTAACACTATATGTGATTTTTAAAATGGGGATCAGCAGAATAGGTCAACTTGAAGTGCTCTGTATGGGTCGTGCTTGCTGGAAGTCTCCGACATTTTAGGTGAACAAATAAAACCACTAACTATTATCTAGATCAATTTAAATTATATCTGTAATTTTATGCATTTCTCTCAGATCAGGGCTTCATTAAGGAGTGTTGCATAGAGTCTTTCAGGTTGTCCCTGAGCCAAATTATTTAGACAAAGGCGTTCACGCTACTGCCATAATATTACATCTGTGCTTCAGTTGACTACAGATAAGCTTCATGCACGTCATCTTTTCTTAACACCACAAGGCAGTGATATAAAGAGTGAGGGCAGAAAAGTTTGAAAACTACACTACAGCTGAAATCATTCAGACTGTGCTCCGCTCTGTGTTTGAGGCATCCGCTAACAGATTTAATACTGCAGAGACTGAATGTGAAGAACAAGAAAAAAGAAACTGCTGTCAATAGGAGAAAAATGAGCCGTGAGAAATGATAAATTGTCAGACACATGTGTGATATTGACCGGTCTGAGAGGAGGATGGAGGGAGGACAGACAGAGACAGCAGGATGGTGTAAGAGCCATATCTGAGGTATTTTCTTTTAAAGTACCGGTATGTCATTTTTAATTCATTAGTCCAATTTATTTTAGAGTCATTCTGTTTTATTTTTTGCTGGTCTTTGGATGTATTGTATTTAAAGAAATGATGTTGTAAAGCTGCCATATGAGAAGAAAAGTGGCAAAGATTTTAGGCATACAGCTGGTGGAAATGAAAAAACGGAGGGAAACACATCCTAAAACTGTCAAGTGTTGATTATATGTGTTCAGTTATAAATAAAAAAGTATCTCTGTCTTTATGTGTGAGTCACTAGAGTAGATCTACCTGTCTGTGTCTGTCGCTGTTAAACTTTCAGATAAATGTGACAAAAGATAAATGGACTGGAAAACTGTGTGTGTGTGTGTGTGTGTGTTGTGTACACCTGTGCTGCAGGTGTCAGTCTTTTCCAAAGAGAAGTGTTTCTCACCTTCATCATGTGTCTGAATGTGAGTGTCAAAGAGAAAGCACATGTGTGCACCACCAAACACCAAACTGCTTTTAACACCGTGCAGGTCACAGTACACCGACATCACACACACAGACATACACACACACAGACATATACACACACACACACACACAGACACACACACACACACACACACAGACATATACACACACACACACACACACACACACACACACACACACACACACACACACACACACACACACACACACACACACACACACACACACACACACACACACACACACACACACACACACACACACACACACACACACAGAAACTATGATATGATGATGAATTTTGATGAATGAGTTTTTAATGTTTATTATATCAAACCAGACGAGGCTCCAGGAGACGGAGAGGAAAGCACAGACTCAGTGAGGGATGTGATACCAACATCACATACGCGTACACAAAGGTCTATGTTATCTTCTGTCAACTTTCATGTAAGAATAAAAAGTGATTCACCTGCCACATCTCAACACAAAAAAAAAAAAAAAAAGAGTTCTTACCCGCTGTGATGTCATCATCCGTGACGTCCATCTCTTCAGCAGGAGCCGTTGTCTCTATTGGCTGAGCCTCAGGAGGAGGTGGGGCTGGAGTGGAGGGCTCGGTGGTCGCCCCAGCTGAGGAGAGAGATGGAAAACAGTTTGTTTTAAATATCAACAAAACACAGGGTCGTTAAGAACTGTTTGATAACAGGTCAAAGACAGTGAAGACTATCACTGCACAAACAAAGTGAGAGGGATAAAATATACCAAGAGCATACATTCTAAAATATGAAAATATATTGTATATTTGTATCTGAAATATTTCTGTAATATTGTTTACAGTCCTGAGTAGAGTGTATATTTAAGTCACCTCATCAGAGCAGGTTTCTGTGTCGGCCCAGGCTAAAAAGCTAAGGTTTATTGGGTCTTCCTGTTATCTAAAGGATTAATGGAAACACACACACCTCTATATTTAGTGTTTTCATTTAGCCTTTATCTCTCCATTGCCAATTAAGAGAGGCCTTTCATTAACAGCCGGGTTAATGAATGATGCTGTGCTAATGAATGAAGCGACTAAAGGTAACAGAGCCCGCACTGACCACGCTAATCTCTGAAACAACACACTAATTGATTAATTACAAACATAATACACACACACACACACACACACTCTCTCTCTCTTTAATCAATGTGTTTCCCTGTGCAAACCCCCCCCCACCAAAAACCTTATTGAGGAATTTCTATAATTGAAAGAGGGAATGAAACAATATAAACCCTAACACAAACATCTCCCCCGAGTTCATGAGTTTGATCTGAGCACATTAATAAAAAAAAAAACCTGTAATCACACTGTGTGCAATTATATTGATTAATTTGACCTGGTTAACATTGTGCTTCATGTTCCAATTAACCTGCACACACACGCTGCTGACAGCTCGACATAATGACGCTGTACAGCTTTATATCACACACACACACAAACTGACAGAAAGGCCATTATACAGCCAGGCTGTTGATTATCAGTGTCAAGCATTAAAGTGATAAAAACTTAATTGAACTTAATTAAAACATAATTGATGCTTTACTGTGATTGGACGAGAAAGATGGACTAATGTTTACACATTAACAGAGCTCTCTCTCTCTCTCTCTCTCCCCCTCTCCCTCTCTCTCTCTCCCTAGATCACCTTTTGAAGGTCTTGGCTGTATCTCGGAATTGAAGAATTTGTACTCGGTCTTGTCTCCGTCTCAGACATGCTGAACTCCAGATTTTAAAAGAAGACCACTGACAGGTGATCATTTTCCATCATTACTGTGATTAGAAGGATAACGCCACTTTCTAAAATAACGAACAACTTCAATTAATTTGTAGTTTGATTTTTTAATCCACCAGTTATGGCCGCAACCTTCCCGGTGTTAAAGGGGTCATATTATGCTTTTTCTGGTTTTATATGCTCTTTAGTGTGTTTTCCATGTGTCCTGTGCATGTTTAGGCACATCTATTTGCAAAAATTCAAAGTCCGTTAGCTGTAGCATTAGCTGCATGTAACACTCGGTTCTAGCCCCCCTCGATAAAAATTTGTCAGTGTGACGTCTTGTCAGTGTGAGATCACTGATCTAAGCCCATTGGCTCGTTGTGGCAAGCCCAGCAGCTCATGTTGCACGCCCGTTAACTTTTGTAGCACGCCCACAATATGCCGTAGCCTGTGGTAGCACAGTAGTGCTAAGGTGCTAATGTTTTTGCTCCCCGGCCCTCGGAGCCAGAGTGGCTGAGCGACTGACCAATCACGACAGAGCCGACAGGCTGACCGATCAGATCAGATTTGGCACACGTGGGGACTCTGAACGTGGGCACTTCAGAGCCTTAGAGAGAGAGTCAGAAGCGAGCCGGTGCATGGAGCGGCAGTACATGAAAACAGACACTTTTTTCAAACTTTATCTATTGTGAACATACTTAAGTAGGTACATAGATTAAATATATGAACCCCAAAAAGGGCATAATATGGGCTCTTTAAGTGAGTTGTGTTGTTAGTGTGGGCGCACCGGGCACAGAGGCTATAGTCCTCGACCCGGGTACGAAATTGACCTCTGACTAATTCACAAAATGTCATTCCCCACACTCACTCCCTGATTCTTGACTCTACCCACTGTCCTGTCTCTCTAAGAAATTCAACAATTCCCCAAAATAAATCCTAAAAAAGACAAATCAAACACTAATGTCACAGTAACCCATTCATCCTCACTTTCACTTCATGCACTTAACCATGCTAAGAGGAATGATCCAAAGTGCTGCACACACGATATGATACAACTTTGATGAATAATAAACAGCTGTGTTCATTTGACTGATTCTGGTCTGCATGTGGTTTTTAAATAATTTCACCTCTCTTTCTATTTCAAACACACACACATAAGAACACACACTGGGCCTATAACTCAGCTGTCCTCGACGAGGGGGATGAGAAAGAGAGAGATGCAGGAGCTGAGGGAGAAAAAAAGAGGAGAGGGAGTTGGAGGAGGGGTGGAATGACAGGGGGGAGGAGGAGGAGGCGTGCTGCCCTGCTCCAAGGTCAAGCTTGTCATGTCAGCCATGACACACAGCTCCCAGCATGCCTTGTTAACCTTCCAGGATCTGGTGCTCCTCTCCTCTGTTCTGCTCTCTCTGACTCCTCTGGTTAAAAAACACACTTCAAAACCCTCTTTGTTCACAGAAGACTCGGCCATCTTGTTTTTTATTGAGCTTTGATCTAGTTTGTATTTTTAACTTTGGTTATGTTCTTCTGGCTTTTGATTTTGTTTTGATGAAGTATTATTTGGAATATGTCATGTCATGTTTTATTGGATTTACAAAGAGGCAGATCTTTCAAAAGAATACAGAACTTAACTACTCTTCACCTATTCTAACTTTTAATGTGTTTATAAAAACATCAAAAATGGAAGAATGACAAAGAGGTAGGGAGGAAGGAGGGGAAGATCCCAGTTAAATTAGAAACAAAACAAAGGTTGGGAAGTAAGAAAAGTGAAGAAGAGGAGACGAGAAAGAAATAGAAGAGGTGGGGAGGGGGAGGCTAGTAAAAGTGGAAAAAGAACAGAAGTGAAAGTGAGCAGGAGGACAAGAGGTGATAAAAGAAAGACGCACAAAGGAAAGAAAGTGATGAAAGGAAGACAGGAAAAGCAAAAGAGAGGAGCAGGAAGAGGAGGATCTTAAACAGCAGCAGGTTGATGTGATATAAAAAAAGAACCTGCATTGGGTGATCGAGGGTTTTAATAAGAGAGAGAGAGGAAATGAGGACTGCTGTTCAGTGATCAAAGAAACAGCTGCCACACACACACACACACACACACACACACACACACACACACACACACACACACACACACACACACACACACACACACACACACACACACACACACACACACACACACACACACACACACACACACACACACACACACACACACACACACACACACACACACACACACACACACACACACACACACACACACACAGTTTGACCCTTCAAACGTGCGTGTTCATGCGTACGAGGACGGACAATGCTGTGGATTCTGTTTAATCAAGTGTGTGTGAATATGAGAGTGTGTGTGCCCCTGTCTGTCCCTCCAGGTTGTCTCTCTTTCTCCCTGACTTCCACTGCTTCCCCTCCTCGCAGCAGCTCTGGACGTCTTACACCCCAAATATTCAAGCTTCACACATCTGTTTCTTTGTTTTTCTATGCCTATGAACTGGTTTGGATTTGATCATTGCTTCCAGATGTTAGAAAGCGGTTAATATTCTAGTAGCATCAGAGGTGTCTTAGGCTGTTTTCGAAACCGCATACTGTACTACTAGTACATACTGATTTGGCCAAAATGCAGTATGCAGTATGTGAACAACTGCAAGATCTGCAGTATGCCAAAAATACCAGGATGTCATACTGATTCGGGAAAATTGTACAGTATGCATCGGACCCGTCTACCTCGCATACTGTTTCCCACAATGCAAAGTGCCAGGTCAGAGATCAAAATGCCAGAGCACAGCTGTTTGAACTCGTCGGTGGCGGTGACTGAATATCTTGCCACATTATGAACCAATAACAAATATGACACGTTCATATATTTATAAGTCTTACCACCTCAGATTTTCCTGCTTTGTAGACTGTACAGTGCATGTGCCACAGCTGCACAAGCAGCTGCAATTACAGGGTCCTTGGCTTGCTCTATTACTACAAATTATTCACAGCTGAGTAAAACCAGTTTAACCGGGGCCAAGCATACTGCAAAATAACTGACGACTGGCAGTCATACTACATACTACTGTTGAACTCAGTATGCAGTATACAGTATATACTGCATACTGATTTAGATAGTAGTATGTAGTATGCGGTTTCGAAAACAGCCTCTGTCTTGATTAGAAACTTTGGACAGTGCTAAGCAGGTTGTTTCCCACTGCTCCCAGATGATATGTTATGCTTCAGGCTAACCATTAACTTATTTTGACTTGGTGTTGTTGCATATTTCTAAAATGATCTTTTTTACATAATCTCCTGCTGTGAGGTGCATGTGTGAACAAACAGATCTGGAGGATTCAAGGAGCAGTCCCCCTGAAATTCTCTAGAAATGTTCAGGAGGGAATATGTGAAAACAGCTACAGACGAACATATTGATGCTCTTATATGGCTTTCAGAAAGACTGCTTTTAAAAAAGAGCTTTTTCTTTATGGTGTGGACAGTCTCTCTCTCTCTCTCTCTCTCTCTCTCTCTCTCTCTCTCTCTCTGTCTGTTTCCTTTGTGCTAAAGCCTTTTAAACACTTCTAGGAGAGCTGAAAGGCCATAACCACTGCTTTGTGAATGTGTGTGTGTGTGTGTGTATGTGCTGTCAGCCCCACGCTGCGACAGAGAGTGACATTTCCTCAGCACTAAAAGCTAATGGATAAATACAGGTGTCTTCCTTAAAACACCACCCACTCTACAGCTGGAGAGAGAGAGAGAGGGGACGACAAATTGCCTGTTTGATGAAGGTGTCAACGGCTTGAAATGAGTCCTTTGCCTCTTATGTTGCACTCCAGGCTGTTTTCACTTATAGCTACATAAGGTCATGCAATTTTGTTTGTATTTAACCCACCAATACACTTACCCCCACACTGTCTTAAACAAATGCACAAGCTGCCCCTGAGCCTCTGTTCCAGACGCACCAGGTTTGACATAAACTAAGCGATAAACTAGATCCTCAAAGCAAGTGCTCTAATTGTTCAGCATGTGGGTAGTCAAGTAAATCTCCTTGGGTTGGCCTGCCATGCTGGTGCTCCTGCATTGCTTTGTGCACAATGAAACTTCCAAAGAAGAGTAGAAATTTAAATGACAGATTTCAACTTATTCTGGTCGTTTGACTTTTATAAACTAATTGAATCATCGTATTTTCAGAGGGACACTGAAAATACATAAAATCAAATGATTCAAATCATAAACTTATCATGTTTATTAGTATTTGTTGACGAGATGGTCTTAGGTGGTTGTGTTAAATATGGGAAACACTGGTCCTACTTATCATAATAACTTCACTGGAGCCTTATGGATGTGCAAACAATTTCAATGTTTTACCTTCAAACCCAAAGCTGTCGTGTCATAATGTCACACAACTACTTTTGGTTAACTTCAGGGTAAAATGAGATCTGTAGATTTTTTGTGAACATTAAGTGGAGGACCACAACCCTGGGTCACACTCCAGAGAACAACGGCGGCACATCTTGTCTGAAAGGTGGAAAAACTGAATGTGTAGATATTATATATTTGATGTGTTAACAGCTCCAGGTTCAAAAGGACTTCTCCAGAGGATTCAGCAAATTCCCTGACTTTCCTGTGATACTCCAGGATTTCCAGGACTAGCAGGAGTCATCTTACTGTCTGTTCCAGTCCTGCTGTGCAGCACACAGATCAAATTCAATGACCCTTTAACCTCGCTCTATCTCTCTCCCTGTCTCTGCTCCCTCCCACCTCCATCCTCCCTCGTCCCCTGAGGTCACCGGCCCATCACTGCCTCCCCAACCCCCTGCCAAACCCCCCTCCCCCTTGCCTGCGGTACTGCTGTGGTAACACAACACTGACCGGTGCCCGTTTCCATGGCAACTGTTCCCCTGAGAAACACCCAGCATCCTCAGCAACCACAGGGCAACTCCTGAACAGACACACGAGCACAGCATTTCGAAGGCTGTTTCTAGTAAAAGAAGGTTGAGATTCACCTTCCCATCAGCAGGTCTAAGTATAGACTAAGAGAAAAAGAGAGAGAGGGAGAGAGGGAGAGAGAGAGAGAGGGAGAGATGGAGAGATGGAGAGAGGGGGGGTGTACAGAAGACAAACAGACAGAGAAGGAAAGATGTAAAGTGACAAATTGGGGGATAGAGAGTTAAACAGCTCAGTTTTGTATAAGTAGGTTTTGTGTTGTTGCCCTCACTGAAGGGGGTCTCTCCTAGCTACAGTAACATCTGACCAATCCCAGTTCAGTAGCTCAAATAAATTATGGTTATCAGCCTTTCCAAACAGCTAGCTATCTAAATCTCAGGGAAAAAAATATTTATTTCCATTTGCTGGCCGAGGAGTATTGACCAATCATGTTTGAGTAGGCTTTTGATGTATGTATAAAAAATGTCAGTCTTAAGAAAAAAAGAGGCAAAGCACATTTGCCAGATTGCAACCCAGGAATGTATTTGATATTATCAGAAGACACTGAATGTAGCACTCATATGCAGATATTGTAAGTGCAGTTGTAGATATCTCTCTTATCTGTATATATAATGTTTACATTAAAGCCCAAAATTATTGCAAGCTCAGAACTAATCTAGGTCACCTAACTTGGACAGCAATAGATGTTTTCTTATACCATGTCACACATTACAAGTGAGCAAAATATATATATATACTTATTTTTTTGTTAATTTATTTATTTATTTTAATTCAAGATTTATTTCTGGGCTTTTTAAGCCTTTATTTAGAGAGAAGACAGTGTATAGAGTCATAAATTGGATAGAAAGAGAGAGAGAGAGCGAGAGCGAGAGAGAGAGCGAGAGAGAGAGAGGGGGGAATGACATGCGGGAAAGGAGCCACAGGTTGGACTAGAACCCTGGCCACCAGCTTTCAGGACCCCAGCCTCAGTACATGGGGCGTGCGCACAAACCACTAGACCACCGGCCCCCCCATTTAATGTTTTTATTGATAGGATAGTAGAGAATGACAGAAACACTTGGAAGGAGAGATTGGGGGAATACATGCAGCAGATGTCTAGGGTCGAACTCAAACCTGGACTGTAGCCTCTTCTAGACACACTCTAACAGTTAAGCTAAACCAGCGCTCCGTCCACACGTTTAGGGATATATGGCATTAAGATCATCAAAACGGCAAGTTGTGACAATCATTTTTGTTGTTGTTTTGTTTTGTTTTAACAAAAGGCAACATTTATTCAAAGACATAATGTCTGGAACTAACATTTGCTTGTCTCATGAGAGCAGTTCCCCATTCCAGTGAAATAAAGGCATGTCAGTGTATTAACACTATCATGTTAACATTACGACAGTTAAGATAAGGTACTCACGAGAGCTGACGGTGTCCACATACTGAGGTAAGTAGGGAGCCCACAAGTCGATGGTGTCCTTGCGTCCTGATTGGCCAATCCTTCTTAATTCAGCCAATAGAAGAGCCTGTGCCGCTTCTCGCACCTAAAACAGTATGGAAGGTAAAGTTAGGACTCGAGTCCACTAAAGAAGGTCTTCAGAGAAGCTGCCAGGTTCAGATCATAAAGGGATTGATTTAAGTGTTTAAGTGTATCATTTCCATTAAAACCAAAATTAACAAGCAGGGTTTATTCCTTGGATTGGTAATGCAATGCTAATCAAATATGTAGACGGGGAATGTATTCCGCTGATTTCAGTATGAACATTTAGTAACACTGCATATGATTCGTTATTTTAGCTGTCAAGGCAAAATTACTGTTTTTTTCAACATGTATTTATGTCAAATAAGTCTCATTTTCTAAATATAATTTAAAAACAAAAGCATAGGGTTGGCCTGGAATGATAAGCTTGGACCTGTACTTTGCATGATTTGTTTATTACCTCCAGACAGCGGTCCTGCCATCTCCTCGCCAACATCTCCAGCAGTGGAGGTCTGAACTTGTCCAGGCCCAGAAGGTCAGGAAGCATCACACAGTGCATGGCTGCCAGCTGGCTCCAACCTACACACACACATATGCACAGTCAGAAAAGACTACTTTTGGATAATTATCTTAAAGGCACTCCTGTTGTCATAAACAAACCCTCACTGCTGTCATATGAAAACGCTTATCTTGTTTTAATGTCATTCCAAACAGTATGAAACATTGGGACGGAGCGGACAATATGCAGACGATGTAGCGCTTTACAGCTTTAACAGCTCTATGTCCTACACAAATGAATCTTTGTTGTAAAGGTGGTGCCGGACGAAAGTTAGCTAGCTAGATGAAAAGGGTGCCTCTGTAATTAGGATTCATCATCTTTGGACTATGAAAAAGATGAACCGTGAACATCAACAGACTATTGTTAGTCATTATACCCAGAATTTACTCATGGACCAAGGTGTTATATAAACCAACTAATATAACAATCAGAGATAAAAACTAGAAATGCTACTAACATTCATGTTGCTAATGCTAACAATAACTACAATTGAGTGGCTGCTGCTTAAACAACTACTTCTTCAGCAACTAACAACAACGACTACTGCTACTACTGTGGCTGCAAATATCTACTTGAACCACCATTGTCATTGCTATTAAAAAAGGCATCAATTTTTTATACTACTTCTATCACTACTGCATTAACCCAAATTCTCCTGATGGATCAAAACATTGGATAACCCAGCTGATACCTTAAAGGAAGAATGTGCAACATTTTACACATAAATAAGGCAGAAATCAAGTATATGTATATGTGAAGCAATGTGAAGCTACGAGCTAACTAAAGAGTGCTACCATTAGCCTGCTAACACAACAATGCAGCTCGATACAAGGACAATTATGTCCGCTGTTTGCGCTTAGTGCTTAATTATGGCGCGTTCCAATTTCATAACTCCTTTGTGCAAATGCAGGGGGCAGCTTATAAATTGTTTCCATATGACAACAGTGAGTTTCTTTTAATTCTTACACAGAAAACTGGTACAAACGTTGTATTTCTATAATCCTCACAAACTCACAACAGTTAAACACGGGATGGGAACATTGTTGCTATCGTTTTCAGTCTTGGTTAGAGCAAAGATCTCATTTCTGCTAACCAGAGTCTGTTTGATGGCGTTGAACAGGACAAAACAGATTTACAGCACTGTCGGGTGAATCAACAGAAGCCTCAGAACGATACCTTGGCATGATGAACTTTAAGATGTTAGGTCTACAATGTGTGTGAATTACTTGAAAAATGGAAAACATTAAAACCTTGTAGTTTGACTAGTGTATACAACTTGTAAAAGTGCTCTTTTCTTCGTTAACATTATCCTGAGTTAGTGATGAAGAAAGGTAACATTCAAAATGTCTTGGTATCGCTTTAATTGGGCTCATATCTGGCTGCATCATTCAGAATCAAAATACATATATTGTCATATTTTACACCAAACAGGAACATATCCCAATTGTAAAATGGGAGTGACAAGATATTGACTGGAGTGTTTATTAGCTGATTCTCAACATAAACAACAGTCCTTACTCACATATATTGGTTCAATATATGGTTTCCAGAAGAAATGTACATATGAAATGCACTTGAATGGACACTGAATTACTTTTAAGTTGGAAAGAAATTCATCACAAATTTCTCTTCCAATGGGCACCATGTGAACTTACCTCCGCCATTGAAATATTCAAGGAAAACTCAAACCATTATTACAGACATTCTGCATTCAGGGAAAATCAAATGTAGAGGTTGACAGATTTATTGTCATGAATCAAACAAAACAAAAAGCCATAACAGCCCTAATTGTGTCAGTAATGGTAATCAGAAAACAACAATCAGTCAACCTCTAGTTGCAATGCTTCCAACACTGTCTTGCAGAAACCTTAATGTTTGAAGAATCCAAGACTGAATAATCTTGTAGAAATTGTTCTCAAATAAAAGATTGAAACATGTTCAGGAAGAACAGAACAGACTGCTCGACTGAGAGTTCATGTTACCAACACGATATGGCCGAGTGTGAGTGTTGGGATCTGAAACACAGTTTGCAAATCTTCAGAGTTATCTCTTTGGTAATCTGGCTTTCATACCTAACTCTAAATTTGGGAGCATGACTGAAGTTTAAGTGCAGTGTATCAGTGTAGAGTACTGTAAATTGACAGGCTTGTGTTGTTTCAAAAAACAATTCTATAGTTATAACTCCCAAAAAGTATGATGGAAATATAACCAATGTGGGGCCCTACCGATATGGGCTTTTTGGCGCTGATACTGCTATCGATATCAGGAAGAGAAAAAAAAAATATATATATATATATATATATATATATATATATATATATGGAAAGTAAATTCACTGGATACGCTAATATCGGATTTGGTCGGGCTCTACGTTGAACTAATACGTTTAGTACTCAGCTAGCACAGCTTCTATATTTATGTTGCCACCTCCAACAATATGTTTTGTAGCTGTGGGTACTTTACAAATTATTTATCAACTATTTGCTGTTTGGCTTTTATTGAACGAGAGTCCTGTGAACTTGGGTTTGGTTCGCTACACCAAAGATGGATGCTTAAAACAGTGCAGACAAAACACCTGCTAGCACAACTGAAACAGAGCTAGCTAGCTAGTATTTTGACACTTGGGTTAAAATACTTCTTCCAACAAAAGAAAATCAACGACAATGCAGGTTTCAAAGTTACCTCGTTACCTCCATGACTCATATTTACAAAAAATAACTTGGGTGGTGCAGCAGTAGAAAGAAACTCAATTCATCTAATCAAGTAATTATTAGGTACAAAGTTGTTGTTCTGTAATAAAGTATTTTTTCTAAATTGGATGCTACTCTTTACTTGAAATGCACATCTATTTTCATTGCATACATGTCGGTGGGAAGAATTTGAAATACTCCACTATTAAGGTCTTACATAAAAGACTATCACAAAGTCTTTGTAAAATGTAAAAAAGTATAAAACCTGGTCGAAAATAAACTCCACTTCAGACAAAACGGGGGGAATATGCTAATAACAGTTGATTCTAAATATTGACTTCTCTAACGTTGCACTCCATTTTTTTCAAAGGTTTATTTTTGGTCTTTAATGCCTTTATTAGAGACAGGACAGTTGATAAAGTCATTATAGGATGGATCAATCTATTATCACACTTAGCTGTTACTGCTAATACTACACATACTTTACCAATATTATTGACATTGTATCTATCTAAATCTTCTACAGTCTCATCAGACGGCTGTTCATCATGAGTCTGGTTCTGCTCGAGGTTTCTGCCTCTTAAAGGACATTTTTCCTTTCCACTGTAACTTTGCTAAATGTTGCTTTGTGCTCATGATGGATTAATGCTGGGTCTTTGTAGATAATAAAACAAAGAGTAAGGTCTTTTACCTGCTCGTTTTAAAGTGTCTTGAGATAACATTTGTTATGAATTGGCGCTATGAAGATTGATTGATTAATTGATTGAGAAATCAGGGAAGTATACAGAGGGTGGGGGGAATGACATGTGGCAAAGGACCCACAGGTCCAATACTTGGTCACTGGTTTGAAGAGGGAAGAACACTGACATTTATAAAAGCAGTGCATGTGAAATCCTAAATGAAAATAACATCTTGAATTTTGAGGGTTTAGGTTGATTTAATTCTTCAGATCACACCAACTGGCTTGAGCCCAAAAAAACATTTTTGAAAAAATGTTGCTACAATCAGCTATTTCTTGCTATTTTCTTGTATAAATACCCATAATAATACTTTAATGATAATGATTTGATATGTATTGAACAAATATAGGTTTCTGCAGGACAGTGTTTACGGAACAGACGTCAAATAAAAACTTTACATATTTGCCTTATTTTCAGTTTGCATACTAACTACAATCTGTCATACTGTGTCTCTGTGTGCATGCTTGCTGCTTCACAACTAGGCAAAAATATCGTGACCAACTGAGTTTCAGTTTCTATAAGTTGGATAATACAGGGTACCTTCATTCATATCTTTATCTTCACTACAGACACCATAAAGCACATTCATTGTTTGGGTGGAGGGGGCAAAAAGACTCTGTGGTTAAAAGCAAACATCCTGCTCAGGAAATTTCTGAGAGTTTCAAAAGGAAAAAAAACATCATTAGACTCTTTGAGGGTCACACAGATACTTCATCTATTAAATTTGAATGACTAACTTTGGTTCATTTCCAATAAACTTGAAAAGATGACTAAAAAACATTTATTTTTAACTCTTTTAAAATTGTGAAAATCATTTTTGCAAAGCACAATTTTGATGTCTTTTTTATTTGTTCTGTTTAAATTGTATTTCCGGTTTAATTTCCCCCTCCCATTGACACACTCCCCATTCCATCAGGTGGTGTAGCAAGCATGCAAACAGTGAGCACAGAGAGAGACCGGAGCATCAGGACACGTGGACATTCTGACAGACAGACAGACAGACAGACAGACAGGTAGACTTTGAGACTGAACAGAAACAGGAGAGGACTGCACAATACTGCAAACAACTGAAAAGAGACAAAGAGACCAGGACCTAAGGACTGCGGTCAGTGCACCCTCAATCATTCAAACATCACTAAAGTCTGCTTGTATGCTGATGATGCAGCTCTTTATCTCATTACATTTTTGGCACGAGGAAACTTATACTAGGGTTCTGCAAGTTTTGTTAATCCAGATTTAAAGTGAAACAAATGCTGGCATGCCTTACACACTGCAAGACATAAATTCTGAGCGAGTGCATTTGTCTCATTTCTTATCAAACCCTTACTCTGAGCCACATTCAACTGACAAGTCCAAGTAAATATATCATTTCAAGATATAATAAGTGAAAAAACAAGGCCTGACTTGCTTGTAATAATTAAAAATATTTGCCAATCAGCAAGAAATATTAAGTGTCTTTAAACGACATACATTACTAACTAATTTCGATTGCACATCTCATTTCAAAACAAGTAACAAGTGTTGCAGAATGGCTAAGAGGATGTAATTTTAATGTTTGGGTTCTGTACTGGATAATGTCCTGATTATTTTTGTACTATTTTCAGATATATAAGGAATTCAGTGAAACTGCTAATTTTGCAAATACTGATGGCCTGATTAGATTCATCACATTCTGAGTTTGCAGGATTCTGATGTTGGACAAAGGTTTGAGAGTGGACTGAACTCAGATATGACAGACGGGCAGATAAACAGACAGCACTGTAGACAGAAACAAGGACAAAGACGCTGGAAGAAACTGGATCCAGACACCTGAGATGAAAAACTAAAACTAGCTGCAGGAAAAACAAGACTGATGCAAGAAATGAGAAATTAGGCGTCTAGAGCCAAGAAGGAGAGAAACAGGAAAAAAGCAGGGTGATGAATTACTGATGGAGTGAAGAGAAGAGAGGCCAAGAATTGTGATAGAGTGAGGCCAAGAGATAAAGAAGAAGAATGGAGAGTGAAGAATAAAAACTACAAATGGGAATGAGAACCAAAATGAAGTCAGAAGAGAAGATCTAGTAAGCAAAAGATCTCTACATGGAAGAGTATGGCAGAAAGACTATCCCTATGTTGTACCAATCAGTTCAGTCTGTACCTTCATTGACTGAGAGGAGGTTATAAGAAGCAGGGCCGGGGCTTGGGGAGCCAGGGGCCCCCTGAGGACGGCCCCCAGGGGCCCCCAGAGCCCCAGCCGTTGTAGCAGAAGTAACAGTGCTGGTGTTGGCTGTGGCAGCTACAGCAGCGTGTGAAGGAAGAGAAGGAGAGAAAGAGCCAAGAAGGAAAGAAGAGGTTAAGAAGGCATTATAATATCACAATGGAGAGAGGAGCAGAGCAGTCAGGACGCAGGGAAGAAAATGTTTTAGTGACACAATACAAGAACAAAATAACAGAAATACACAAGAAAACAAAAAGAAATCACAAAAGTTAAATACCTCCTTTACACGAATAGATTCAATGTTGAGTTTACATCAAGTACATTCAGGTTAGGGCAAGACATTGATTAATAAACTGTTTTATAGATATTGTTCTGATTGGAAGAGATCTAGGTTATAGTTAGAAAGCAGCAGAACAACTTTTCAGGTCTGCTGCAGAATGCCATCTGCAGTCTCCTAAATGGAAATCACCAAACCATTATTTTACCATTAGCATAGATTAGTATTGACATATTTCATGAGGTGCCAAATAATTCTTAAGTCTACAACGATCATCAATATTAACAAAAAGTATTTGTATTTATTCAGGATGCGCATAACTAGCTGTCCAAACGATTCAATGGCGTCATCCTCGATAGCCAGAATTTCTAGTCAAATAAACTACTATTGGCATATTTTGGCCCTAGATGCTGATCAAATGTTGTGTTCAAACTGTGACACAGCCACCTGTCTTGGGCTGGGCTGCCCCTAAAGACTGGCTGTATGTAATGGGTCCTCTCCTCTGGCTCTACTGCCCCGATGTAGCACAATGAACGGAGAGCAGTTTGGAAGTATTTCGATCTTGAAAAGGAGATAACTTTATATTAAGGCTATGTCAGGTTAAACTGTCATATCCACTGGAACAATGCATAACCAGAACAGACACGTGGATGTCAACCTGCAAGGAGGACCCTAGCACTATTAACGTAAGACACACTCGTAAAAAAAGAAAAAACGAACTGACATTGCTTCCTGTTCAGTCATCATAAAGTACACCTGTTAATACTTATTTGATCCAGTTTAACAATAAGAGTACCTAAAGCTCTGTAATATAAAAAAAATCATGACACAAATGTAAATTCTATCATTCAAATATGTAAAGTGGTACTGATTGAAGTGGCTTATACAAATTATTCAAATCCTTCCTTCAAATAAGATTGAGAGACTCTGCTTTTCTAACACTGATTAATCAAATTAGTATCACCACTCAATTGAACACAGCAACTCAATAATCTGAAAAGAAAAAAAGTAGTTTTTTTTTTTCTTCTGACAAACGACCGACGCTGACTGAATTTCTTGACCAGGACACAAAGGTTTCAGACTGTGGCACTAGCATTTTTCAACCAGTTGTAAAAAATATCCTGCAGGTGAAAATATATTCTGCTCATACTCATTTACATAAAATATTAATTGAATGTTTCTTTATGCTAGGGCCAGAATCCTGAAACTTTTATACTGTGGAGATAAAGCGTGTTATTTTCATATTTGAACACTTGTCAACTTACAATCAAAGAAATAAATCCCAGATTTTCTCACAACACTAAAACAATATCTCAGAGACATGTAACATAGAGTAAGTAACAACATTCTTATATCTATTTTAAACAATCATTGACAGTACACATCCTTACTGTTCACACAAAACCAGTTAAGCAGCTACGATAATACAACAGGTACTTTATCAGAGAAAACATGTAGCACAGATGTAACAGAGAAAACAGTCACAGCAACATAACATCAGTTGGTGGAAAAGAAAGAAGAAAATAACAGTGTGAATGTGAAAGAGGACAGGCAGCAGGCTGAAGCCATGCAGTGAACAACCTCGTGATGATGGAAAGACACGAAAAGAAGAGAGAGAGAGAAAGGAAGAAGAAAGACAGAGATGATGGCTGAAGGCAGTCAACAGCAGTTTGTCAGCATTTATGCAGAAAAGAAATAGTCAATGACAACCTGCTGCATGAGGAGGTTAAATATTATATTCAATCTCATATTATGTATAAAGAACTTCAGGAACTGGGCCAATAGCTCCTGTAAAGGCTTGGTTTTATAAACTTATATGCAGATGATACTTTGATTTCCACTTCTAACTTGAACTCAGTAAATCCTGCTAGTGCTGGATGTAAAGCAAACTAATTATTTTTACTCAAATGCCCTTCTTCTAAAAATGAATGCTCAATAAGCCTACACAGGTTTTGCCCAAGTCCAAGTATGCTGTCATTAAGCAAAGCAGATTTAGTCCAAAGTGTAAATAAAGGCTCAGAGTTTAAAATCATGGGGAACAAAAGGCAGGACACCTGAAACAAGTCCTATGAACAGTTCAATTTAACTTTTTTTTAATAGATACTTTATGCTGGACTTCTTTTTAAAGAGTGATTATTATCGAATGAGGCTAAACCTGGTAAGAAACATTTGTCATACACAGAATAAACACACACAGTTCGTTCACATGCAGCTGGTAGATATATTGTGTTAGTCTGATTTAATTTCATTATTTCAGGAATGATCTTTGTCTGAAACAACGATTCTATTTGGAAATAAGACTCATGGAGTTTTATTCTTTGTTTCCACCATTTTTAGGAGTTTCTGAAAAAAATATGTTTTTACTGGTAATTGCTGTGAGTGTGTGGACATAAGCCAGCAACAAAGAAAAGGTAGTTGAAATCTTTTCAGCGTTACTGTGAACATAAAATATCATTAAGATTTTTTTATGTGTGTTAAATTGTGTGCATACACCTTGCTTTCTCTGTGAATCTCAATGTAAATGCTGCAGTATATAAGTGGGGCTGCCTCATTTATTTCCATGTGAAAAGAGAGGGTGAGAAGGGTTAACTGCACCCTCTTTCACAAAGCCTCCAACACACACACAGAAACAGGCGCACACACACACACCAGGCAGGTTTGAGAAGCTGGCTGAGCAGAGGTCATGGCCGAGCGTTCCCCCTGAATGGCGGTGAATAGGCGTGTGGCGTGAATAAGTCCACACGCTTGTCACGCTTGGCCTCCATTAAGGCGTGACAATAGCATTGAAACCCCGCCTACTCTGAACACCCGAGGGTGCCACCCATGGCATATGTGTGTGTGTATGTGTGTTTTCAAAGAGACTAGATTTTGGTGTGTGTATTTGTGGATGTTGAGCTTGTTGTAGTGTGGTAGGTAGTGATGTGCGTGTGTGTTAGGCAGATGGTGACGGCTGGTTAAAATGTCCCCCCACAGTGAACCAGAGCCGGCTTCTCTCTGCAATAAAGACTTCTCTTTTCTATCCACCTTTACTGAGTGGAATATAATCCTGTTTGTGCAGTAAACTTTTTCCTGTGAATAATTAAAATTTTGGTTGTGCAGGTTGGTTAGCACATTAGCTTTGTAAACAGCAGGAGATTATTTTGCTTTAATTCTTCTGGAGAGATCTGAACATTATGATGGTTATATAAAACAAAAGCACTTTCCTATATTCCTTCATACCACAATGTTTCAAAAAAGTCCTGAATCCAGACACAATAGGTCCTTTAAGGTGCTATTCAATTAAAATGCTCCAAATGGGTCTGCAATTTTGGAAGTGACAACCAGTAACTGTTTTGAGCGTCTTAAGTAAAACTGAAGTGCATTTCTGTTATAAGGGGATGGTCAAGATGAATACATTTTCAGGCTAATGAGTATGCAAAGAGCAAACATTTGAAAGGCGCGTCAAAACTCATCAGGATTATTTTTTTGTTGATTTTAAAACTAAAGTTAGAAAAATAAAAAAGTAGCAGTGTCGATGTCGCCTCCTCTCTTTTTTTTTTTTTTTTTTTTTTACAGATCAAGCGCCCTTAACTTCTAAACTTTCCTAAATGCCTGTTACATAACCATAACTTCTTTCTCGACAGGCCACAGGAAGGTCTGTTTACTTCTATTTATAAGAGTATAGTCAAGGTGAAAACAAACCAAGCTTCAGCATTGGTAGGAGAGTAAATGTAAGCAGGGGGGTCTCTTGTATCAAAGCAACACATTTTGGGGAACATCCATCCATAGTATATTCCTCCCAGTTAGGTTTTGTTGCACAGGAAATCATTACTTTAAATTTATTTTCCAATAAACAATGGTTATAATTCACATACGTACAGTTGAATCCGCCTGTGCCCTATTTAGCAACTCTATAACCTCTCCATGTGAATAAGATTGGGGTTAAAATGTGTACATCCAAGTATAAATATGTGTTTCTTTGCTCCCCTAAATCAGCTGCACTCAGATGTTTGTGCTCCAGTTGAAGTTCAAACCGCTCTGCCCTCATGTCAAAAACAGCAGAACCTCTTTTAAAGACCTGCTGACCGAGGAAACAGCATCAGCTTCCTCCTGTGATATTTCTTTTTTTCCCCCCGAACACTCTCTGTGGGTTCTATTGCCGGTGGGCTGCATTATCAAAACCCCCGCCTTTCCCCCTCTAACACCCTCCCCGCAGGGATCCCAGGGGGTGTGTGAAGCGAGCGCCCCCTCCTTTTGTAGTTACCTTGTTTGATCTGGGCCTGTAGCGCCGGGTTGGAGGGCTGAGGGGGGGCAGCCTGTGCCCTGCGAGGAGTCTCCGGGGTTCCTCCTGGTCTGGGAGGCCTTGAGGAGGATCACAAAGAGGAGGCATGAAATATTAAAAGGAGGAGAGAGAAGGGCCAACACACACACTCTCTCTCTCACACACACAAAATACAAAGAAACACGCTCACATAAAACAAGGAGTTCACCCTTATTTTTTACTTCTTTTTAAACCAACTGATCGCATTTCAGTGTGTGTGTGAGAGAGATAGGTGGAGAGTGTGTGTGTGTGTGTGTGTGTGTGTGTGTGTGTGTGTGTGTGTGTGTGTGTGTGTGTGTGTGTGTGTGTGTGTGTGTGTGTGTGTGTGTGTGTGTGTGTGTGTGTGTGTGATGGTTAGCCTGTGTCTTGTCAGGCTCCAGTCTATTGAATTTTGGGTGGAGGACACAATCCTGGGTCTGAACAGACTGGAGGCGTCTAACTTCCAGAGACACACAAACACTTCCAATACAACAATCAATAGACTGATCAATGACTGTTGCCAGGCAACAAATCACTGCCAGAGAGTTCTACATTCAGCAATTAAAAATCATCAAAATGGACTTTGTTAAACTGCAAACGGTGGGTTAGAGTGTCTGTATTTTAGTAAATTAATTGAGGTTTGATTTAAAAAAGCTTAGGATATTTTATCTTCTGTAAATTCTACCAAAAGTATACTTAAAGTTCTATAAGTCTTTTTTACCGCCTAGAAATGAATGGACCATATTGGCTTAATGTCATTTAGGTGATTTCAAAATAAATTGGTGGAATAACGTGTTACAAATAACTGAGTATAAAGTTAAAGCACTCTGTACTGTAGTGCCAAAACATCAAGAGAAAACTTTACTTCCACCAAGAACCTTCAGTGAGAACCATTCAAAAGGACGGAGAATAAAAGTTATTGCACCTGCAGGCCCCCCCCCCCCACCCTCACGAGACCCACACACCTGCTCTCACTGCTTTTTCACTACAATTCACACACACAAAAAAGAAGAATTACACTTCCTCATTTACACACACACACTGACACACTTTGTACCAATGGGCAGGAGTCCAGAGAAACGTTTTCATAGTTGGAACAGCTGGAGGACCCCCCCCCCTCCCACTCCTTTTTATTATGTGCTCACAGCACGTATGTGGACAATGAGAGTTCCTTGAACACCCTTTAGAGAGTATTTCTCAGCTACCGCCACAAAGGGGGTACAGCGAGCACAAGTGAGACCTTGAGTGAGGGAATTGAGCAGTGATTGGTCAAACACATGAGCCAATACAGCGCAGATATCGACATCTCTTGAAACCTGAACAACACCTAACAGTACAGCGGACAGAAAAAGATTGCAGGTGTAGTGGGTATAAATCACAGAAACTGTCAGTCATTAAATGACGATAATATATGTGTTGGGCCTCTTTTGTTTTCTACAGACTGCTTTCTTAAATCAAAGAAAAGACTGCTCAAATGGTTATTTATTAATATACTTGGAATAGGAATGTAAACCAAATCCTGAACTCCTGTCCTCCACCAACAGTTTCTGAATTCATATGGAAGTATCGGTAACAGACATTATGTTGAGTTGAGGACGCCTGATGTAGAGTACTGCACAAACTGCACTCATACAGAGTCAGCAGAAACAGATTAAAAGCTAATCATCTCATAATATTTGAGAGATTCTGCAGGAGGCTCCATACAGGTCATAAAAGTATTTAACTCCTCAGACTCTGGGTCATCATGTGAATTATACCTGATATCAAACTCAGTCAGACTCAACAAAATTATGTTGCCTGTCAGTTTAAGGCGTGATGTTGTCCCAGAGCGGCTTTCTGTATCTGCAAGTGAAATGCGTGCACAAACTGAAAATTGGGTTTAAGGGCTACTATCTAAATATAATCTTAATCCAATGAAAAAAAAAATCCCATCTAAAATTCTTTATTGAGTTTTGAATGTGCTTACAGGATAAACTTAATACTGCGTAGACAGGTGATAATGGAAAGAGAAAATCAAGCCGTAAGGATGTCTGAAGATAATGTGCCTTTTTAACGTGTCCTTCAGCCTATCTTCAGTTCATCTTTACTCTGAACATGTGCTTACCGTGTGCTCTGAAGGCAGACTGTACAACTAGTGTAAATGTTTACTGTATGATTGTTGAATAGGAGAGAAACAAACAACAGGTAAGCATACAAATGTAGTACTGTAAATGCTTTTGGGGTGCTCCAAGCGGTCGGCCCAGGTTCATATCCCACCTGTGGCTCCTTTCCTGCATGTCATTCCCTACTCTCTCTCCCTGATTTCTGACTCTATCCACTGTCCTATCTATCCATTAAAAGGCACAAAAAGCCGAAAAAAAAAAAAAAAAGAAACTTATTTCCCCACACATATATGGCTTTAAATAAGTAACATGGCTTCATGAAGACTTTTCAATGGTAGTGTTTTGATAGTAGTGTTATTTAAGGCATCAGTGTTTGTTTGATGCTCTGTGAACATCAGCAGAAAATGTTGGAAGGAATCCGTTTCGAGAAAAGACAACATGGTGTTCAGTGCTCAGTTTCATTTTGCAAGACGGTTGTTGAGTTTTGACAAAGTACAATAAACTCTAAGAAAGAGGGAACAAAGACGTTTCTTTAAATGTATCTATTTCAGTATGGACATACTCTTAATCATCTCCCTATAAACAAGGTTGACATGATTTGTTCAATAATGAGCTATTATATAAGACTTAAGTTTAAAAAAGATAACAGGTGGAAAGGAAGAAAGTCCAGGGTTTGTTCGAAGAACGAGCTAAAGTTTTCAGCCTTGCAGGAGGAAGCTATTCTGTGGTTGTTGTAATGAAATACTAACATCCTGAAAGAGTTGAGGCTTACTGCTTTTCAAACTCGCAAGCTCATTAATGTGGGATGGGGAGCATGAAAAAGCCAAAAAGCCAAACACGTTCAAATATTCACATCTGCTCGTTTGTAGCATGACAGCCAGAGAGAAGATGCTTGTTTGAGTTTTATAAAGAAGTCCATAGCTTCTACTTGTAGCTGAAAAATCCTCGTCTCGGATCCAGACTTACCCTCAGAATCTGAGATAGTAGAAAAGTTTTCAGGATGTACGTGTTCTCTGTCCTCTTTCTTGTTGGGATGTTTTAGCTTCAGTTTCTTTTGTTAGCAGATCTGGTCTTCCTCGGGCCAATTAAGATGATCAAGATGCAACTTAGTTTTTCACTATTCTTGATTTAAAATGGATTATCATTTAAAGGTAGTAGCTCATGAAATCTTGTAAACACAATATTGAAGCTCATCCCCCTCAGAAGTGCACACTCACTGCAGGGCGTAGTGTGGACGTTTAATGCTTTTACCTACCCTGAAAACTAGCACAAGCTAACCGCCCATGTTTAGCACCTGTGTGTCCAACAGAAAGCAGACCAACTCCGTGGGCACATCTTTATATAAATGCTATGTGTTATTGGACATATGCACAGTATCAGTGAAAGAGCAGAGGAGAACTTACTGGTGAACAGAAAACTCAATGAAGCAGCTTCTTTACGTGCACAAAGACCACACTGGTCGTTTTGCCCCCTTAGAGACTTTAGACAGGCTTTGAAATGAGTTAGCGTTTCCTGGAGACTGGCAGAGAAACTTGAGACTTGATCAAGGCTTCATTAAATGACAGAACCAGTTATTAAATATCTTTATGAGTCAACAACTTCATTTAGGGGTTTTGTTTAACACAAAGAGAACTGAAGTTATCGACTGAAAACAGGTCAAACTAATTTAGAGGAAGCTAATACCACATGCGCCTCTCTCTCCCTCGCTCTCTCTCTCGCCCGCCCTTCCTTCAGGGTTATTCTGTGCAGGTTTGACAAATGATGAAATGTTGAGTTGGTGTTACAGCAGCAGGACCTTGACCTCTGTGTTAAATCTTTCAGAGCACAATGAGGTCTCAGACAGACTAAACAATGAGCTATGCGCACACACACACACACGCTCAAACACACTCGCACAAACCTCAAGCCTTCTATCATGTGTATGTGAGCAGCATCAGTGTTCAAGTCCTTTGAATTCAGGTTCTGTCCCAGTTTGTTTGGGTTGGTGTTTTGTTTTTCAGCTGGAATCCCTGACTACAGATCACGCTGTGTGTCCTTCATCCAGTGAACTTAAATAAATCTTCATCTTTGGTTTAATTATTTCTTTAACGTGCTGCAGATATAGCATCCAAAAATAAGTTAATTTAACACTTATCAGATCACAGATCACATATTATGCAAAAATCCACTTCACCATGTTTCTCTAACTCTAATATGTGTCTCTACTCTGTCTACAAACCCCCCCAAGGTTAAAAAAATCCATCCTCTCCATCTTTTGCCTGTTCCATTTTTCAGAAAATGTGTGCTCAAAAAGGCCATTTGGAGATTTTCCCTTCATGACATCACAAAGGGCAGTAACCCCTCCCCCAGGTGGGTGACACTCCCACAGCTAGGTGTTTGTTCTGCCCTCTGAGTCTGCCTTCTCACTGTAAACAATAGGATATGGAGCAAGAAAGCCCCTGCCACCCAAGTCCTTCCAGGGAGGGGGTGTGGTCAGACACAGCTCATTTACATATTTAAAGGTACAGACACAGAAACAGTCTGTTCTGAGCAGAGCTGAAATAGAGGGGTTTATAGGCAGAAAACTTCACAGACATGTTTTGGGCAGCTCTGAGACTTATTTAAACTGGTTGAAAAGGAGGAGATTATGTGAACTTTAATAAGTTAGAGAGCATAATCTTTGCCGATGGTGCTCCAGATATTCTGAAGCTATGTGGACGTTGATTACTTTTAGGTGAAGAAACTTTCAATATAGAATGACTGATATAAGTGTGTAAGTGTGTGTGTGTGTTACCTGGTTGGGGCCTTCTTCATGTGCTCTCCCACAAACGTGGCGTTGGTCATGCCCATCAGAGTGTTGGCGAGTGAAATCACAGACAGGAGGTGCTGTGTGGTGACGGCCCTTGACACGCCGTATGTCCCCTTCCCCACGATGTCCGACAGAGCCAGCTTCAGACCGGTCATCAGGGACAGCTGCCGAAGCAAGGACTCCTGGGAAACAGAGGCAGACTGAGGATGCTGGGTATACTGGTGTTTGGTGTAAAGTCAACAACATGAGATTTAAGTAACATCCAGCTTTCAGCCACCATCCAAAAAGACCTTGAGCTACGTCAAATTCCACCTTTCTTTCATGATATTATTACCACAGGATGTCGACATACAGGAATTATAAAAATGTAAGCCTGTGTAGGTGCTAAGCGGGTTGATTGAGTTCTGTTAAAGCTCCTGAATCTGAGTGTCCCTGAACCACACATATGTTAGCAAACAGACAGGCTACCTTAAAGGTGGGCAGCATAAGCGACATGTGTCCTCCTCGGGAGATCAGACCAAACGAGATGGGGCAGTGCGGTCTGAGCATGCCCAGTCGCTCCAGGCAGATGCCGTCCAGCTGTTCGTTCAGACCCCAGGCGTGCAGACAGGACATGAACAGCTTCGCCGTGTCCATCGTTAGGTTGTACTCCAGCAGACTCAGAGACTTGGACTTCTCCTCACGCCTCCTCATCTCCTCCTCCTCTTCTTCGTCTTCGTCCAAAAGGTGCTCCTTGATGGTCTCCTTCATCGTCTCTTTCACCTGGTTTGGACCGGAGACAGATTTATTTTGAAAGCAGTGAATAGAAATAGTGAAAGAACATCAAATAACAGACCTGACTGTAAGACTTCAGGCATGTCTCTGATCCCATTCTAAAACATGCTGATTCTCAATCTTTACATCTTTTACCCTTTTTTTTCCCTTTTTTATCAACTAACCTGTTTGAAGATCTTATTGGCCAGGAAGGACCCCCCTTTGTCGGCCCCAGCCTGACTCTTCTGCAGCGTCTCAGGAGACACCAGCATGGGGTTCGGTCTCTGGGCTTCTTCTGTCAGCAGCTGGATGATGACCGCCTCCACATCGAAGAACAGCACGTGCATGTCAGGGTCGGTCAGGTTGGTCTTCATCGCCTGAACAACCAGGGCATTATGGGAATATTTCGACTGGTTTCCCTGGAAAAAGAAGAGAGATAACTAAATTAATTCATCAGAAAACTCCTTTCTTATGATTAACCACATATTAAAGTTACTATGTGTACATTCTTATGCATGTTCCAAATGATCCTGGTAGTAAAACCTTTTGTTTGTTGAAAATTTAATTACCCTTGGAAAATAGTTCAATTTTATCAGTTTCTTGGGAATTCAACAGTAACCAATGAAACATCTCAAATACACACACACATGGTAAGTGGAGATGTGACTTGTATCTGTTCTGAGATGTGGTGATTCAGCTTTGGGGAAAGCTTTGTGAGGAAAAGAGCAAACATGTACCAAATGTATTGTAGATTTTTTTTTTTTTTTTAGCAGGGTATGTTTGACATCGGGGAATAATCATATAATCAATACTTAATGATGCCAGTAGGAGGCGCTGTAACAGAGAAAAATGTTACAGCAGCCATTTGCTCAGGCTCTTACTCTAAACAAGCGTACAAAATTTTGTGCAGAAAGGATGATATACAGCTGAGTTACAACAAAGTTTTTACAGCGAGAAATAACTGATAAAAGCTAAATTTGTAGTGCCCCGCCCTCCAAAAAAAAGGGACAGATTCTGAATACTGGCATGTTCAAATGTTCAGACAAAATGTAAGGCTGTGGGAAACCTTCATTTCCCAAGCTGCAACTGGATAGCGTTTATTTTTTTACAGGTTGAAATGCATTCCCTACAACCTGTTTCAATCTCCTGATAGGCCTCTGTGATGATAGATCATAGATACAGGTGTCTTTTTTCTTCATCTAAACACTACATTTTCTTCTTTTGTAATTGTATGGCACATTCATACCTTAACCTCTCTGTAAAGTATGTTCACATACTAGATATGTTTAATTTATATATTTTAACATTAAGTATATTTGAGGATATTCTTACTACTGTAGAGTACAATTTGAAGTGATAGGGTTAACTAGTGTATATTTAGTCCTCTGTTGCTTTATTTGCTCTAAAACCTGCTCCTGTGGCACCAGAATTTCCTAGTCTATAAAATAATAAAGCATATCCATCTCTCCATCTATCTTATTCTTCTGATTCACACCTAATGCAGATGGAGACACAGTAGATGAGGATAAGAGGCTGTCAGAGTGTATCGTTGTTTACTCCTGGTGGAGGGGTTGCATTGTTCTCAGAAGAGGGGCGGTCCTTAATGATGTCCAGGATGCATTAGCGTTACACTACCAAACTAATGTGGACAAATGCATACCCAGACCACCTCCATATGTGGTCTGAGCTGTTGGATCTCAATCCGTCCAACATTAAAGCTGTCCACTTGTGATCTAATCGAACACGGCAGACGTTAACGCTCGGTGTTAACAGTCTCTAAGACTGAACAGTGCAGCAAATGAAGAGCTTAAAAAAAAGCCTTTAAATGAAAAAGAGATGTTTTCTATTGTTGGCACAGAATAATATTGATTTAGCTTTAATATTCACATTCATCCTTATCTGAAATCCAACCTTGGATTGGAGAAAAAAAGTACTTTGGAGAAAGATTATTTCAATCAGTCATTCCTTTAAGCACACACACACACACACACACACACACACACACACACACACACACACACACACACACACACACACACACACACACACACACACACACACACACACACACACACACACACACACACACACACACACACACACACACACACACACACACACACACACACACACACACACACACACACACACACACACACACACAATTAGCTTTAATTGCAACCAATACTAACACTCTGCTCGATTTTAATTGCATTAGCAGAGACACCTGCATTGAGCTTTATGCAGAGCGGCCCTGTTTGTTTACATGTTAATGACTTGATGACTGCAATCAGACTACCGTGATCTTGTTAGAGTGAGGAGGAGGAAGAGGAGGGGAGGTGATTAAGGGAAGAATAAAGGGGGAAATGGAAACAATGGACGTTAATCTGAATGAGTTTTCGAGGGGATTTTTTTAGAACTGAAATATCCTTTGCATAAGGATTGATGTGTTTTGTAAATAATAAAACAGTAAGGCACTGAAATATCTGTCAAATGTGGACCTGGATTAGTCAGATTTAAACCAGCTAAGGATTATTGTGTTACTATTTTGATAAGGCTTTTTTCTTCTTCATCCATAGATGCACACTGAAGTAAGAAATGTTACCATCTCTCGTGATAAATCAGCTGACGGTCACTCAGGATCATACTGAACAATCAAAGTAAAGCGGGGCAGGTCAGTGTTAATGCTGTCATGAGATGAATATTTGTCTGACCAGAGGTAAGTTCAGATAATATTCAACCTTAAAGCAGTGTTGAAGTCAAGACCACACTAACCGAGACCAAGACATCCCCGAGACCAGAGTGCTCAGAGATCAAGTCAAGACCAAGACATTTAGGGATCGAGATCAAGTCAAGACCAAGACATTAAGGGGTCGAGATCGAGTCAAGACCAAGGCAGGGCGAGACCAAGACAAGACCAAGACATTTAGGGATCGAGATGAAATCACATCACAGGCACTAAAAAAATGATGATAAAAAGGAAGAACAAAAGATCGATGGTTAAATGAATATTAGAAAGCAACTGAGGGCAGAAGACTAAACCAGAAGGAGTATGAATGGATATAAAGATAAAGAGCAATACAAAGGAATAAAATAAAGGATAAATTAAAAGGCTAGACCATTAGAGTAAGGATTATGAACGGATAAAACACATGTTCATAGAGTAATTCATAACTCCCTGTTTCAGGAAACACTGGCTTTAACCTTTCATGTTATTCACTCTCATTGAGCTGCCCTGACTGTGGCTGTGTGAGAGAAACAGAGAGACAAATAATTAGCCAGGGAGACTCCTGACTGACTGAGAGATACAATATACCTGCAGCTGGAACACACACACACATACACACACACACACACATATTTGCACACATACACCAACCCTCAGAGAACTCTCTCCTCTCCTAGCTGTGATGCTGCTGCTCTATGCTGTGTTGTTGCTTTGCCACCCTGAACTATTTATTTAGTATCATTTGTCATTCCATGCTCGCTCTAACCCTTCCATCAAAGACTAAAAACTGAACAACGTGTCTACATTGAGATGTAGTTTGTCAAAGCTGGTAGAGAGTTGTACACAGTGGCCTCAGCAACATGTGTTTTTTTTTGTGTTTGTAGAGTTCTTGGAGTTTTACGCACTAAAACATGAATCTGTGCCTCGGCCTCATGTTTCATGTTTCAGGGTGTTTTTCTGTCTGATCAGTGTGTGACTGTGAGCCTGTGTGTGCTGCTTTAGTGGATGAACACTGCCATCTAAAGGCAACCAAACACATTACACACATATACACAGACAGTCACAAACACACACACACACACACATAACAATGAGCCCATGCTGTTGTTTTGTTTTGATGTCAATCTGAAATTTGACATTTGCTAAAATTTGGACAATTAACTCTTCAAATCTGCTTCTTTCACTACAGGTAGCACACAGATAAAGGCAGACAGACACACGTGAATGCATAGAAACACACACACACACACATGATTGCAGGCACGCACACACAGTGTCCCATAGCTCCTGGGCAGGAGATCCAAAGGTCATTGTCCTGCAGGGCCCTTCTGGCAAACACCACTGGAGTCCAACACACACAAACACTAAACACACACATATGTTCTCTCTATACCTTTCTATTAAACCTTTCACACAACTGTTACATTTAAGCTGTTTTGCGAGGCTTTTACATATTAATTAATGTCAGGTTACAGTAGTTTCCATACATGGGCGTGCAGTCATGATTAAGCCAATCAGCACTGATAAAATGTCTCTCTGTATTACACAGAAAATAAACAAAACACGCCTTAAAAAAAACGCGCTTTTGCCTCATTTATTGTGTTGTTTTTACTCTTTTAAAGTGTAACTGTAACAACTGCCTGCACTTTCAGGCTCATTCTTTGAGTGGGTAGGTAAGTCTGGATCGCTGGTGGGGACGGCCTGCTGCTGTGGACTTTGCTAAATGTTGCTTAGTGCTCATGATGGTTAACATTTGGTCTTTCTAATATAACACGAGGAAGGTCTTTTACCTGCTTTTTGTAACATTTGTTATGAATTGGTGCTCTATACAAATAAAGATTGATGGATTAAAAAGTTTGAATTCATAGTGATAGATACGAAAAATTATTCTCTAATAAAAATGGAAGCTGTCTCACTCATCAGGTGAATATTTTAACCTGAGTGTCGATGCTTTCACACCATTTGAATGCAGACGGATGAAGCTAAGTTCAACTCTGGGCTCCTCTCAGATCTCAGCACATCGACATAAAAACTGTGAGTTAAAGCTGACATGCACTCTGTAATATGTGTCTATTTATTAGACTTTATACCCTTAAAGCAATATTGAGCGATGTCATCACACATGGCATATTTTTCTCATTTCTCTGCAGTAAGTGCAGGTTCATCAAAGTGACCAGAGGAGAAACTCAAAGTCATACAAAGGAGATCAAAACAACAACAAACATCAGCTGTAAACACACACAGGAAAAAAAAAAAAAAAAGGCTAGAGGCTGGCTGGGTGCAATGTCGGGGTTGATAGTCTGACATTTCACAGTCATTATCTGTCATTTCACACAACAGGGGAGCACACATTCACACTCACACAGGGGAAAGTGGATGGTTTTGACCCATAATTTGAGTAGATATGAGAGAGAAATGACACTGGGGTGGAAGGTAGGAAAGGGAACAACAATGATGTATTTTTGATGGAACGGGGTTGAAAAGATTGCAGCTGTTGTGTGCTGGCCTTTTCAGAAAAGAGCTGTGATTAAGGGCAGTTATGGCAGGAAAAACCCGGGAGACACCTACAATAAAAACCAACATACACAGAGGAGACAAAAGAAACTACACAAAGGTTATCTGCTGGAAGGGAAAAAAGAAAAAAATAAGGACAACACACACAACAGGAGAAGAGGTGAAAGGCTGACGTAAACAGCTTTCAACTGACAGAGTAAAAGTCAAACTGTACCAGCAGCTGAACTAAACGCTGTTCAGGCACTAAATAATTCAGAGCGTTTGTTTTCCGTGCTGGGAGGCTCAGGTGGGTGGAGTTTACTCCGTCAGGGCAGATCAGATCATCAGAGTCTGACAGGTGAACTCCTGATCCTCTGAGGGGGAAACACGGACAACCACCTTGTCCACAAACACACACAGGGTCGTTAAAACTGAACGGTGATTTGTTCGAACTGAGGCTGAAATAAACATCAACATGCAAATCACAGACTGTGTTGCCAGCTCTAGTAAGTACGTTTTGCGTGTGAAGTCTGGTGAAATCATGTAAAAAAAGAGCAGGAAATATTCATGAAAATTCACTGTAAGCTTGTGTGACGTTTTATCCTGTGACGGGAACATGACCACACACTGTATAGCGAGCGACATGTTCATTCTCCTTGCACGTAAAGAAAGCGCCGCCTCATTATTTTTTCAGTTCCCAATATTTTCTTCTCTGCTCTTTCGTTGATACTATGAAAATGTAGAATGGTTGATTTACCCCGCCCGGTCTGACAGGGATAGTCTCTATTTACTGTCTGCAGAGAGGGACATGCGTGAACAATCAACTCAGGGAGATTTCAGGGGCATCCAGCATGAAATCTTCTTGAAATGTTCAGGAGTGAATCTGTGTAAACAGCTGGAGACATACATATCTCCAAATTCTATTTGAAGGACATCTCCTGAATAAAGCTGTTCTCTGGAGGTCCAGCTATAACAGAAAAGAAACTCTGCACTTGTTTTTCTTTAAAGATTTTGACATTTAAGATAGTTCATCCTTCCCTTGGAGATCCCAGTGGGTCTTTCTCACACACACACACACACACACACACACACACACACACACACACACACACACACACACACACACACACACACACACACACACACACACACACACACACACACACACACACACACACACACACACACACACACACACACACACACACACACACACACACACACACACACACACACACACACACACACACACACACACACACAGTAGCAATGTAGCAATGACCTTTAGGTTTGTCTCCAACAGAGTTTTAATTGGTCTGCAACTTCAGCCAGCTTTCTGACCAAGATGACCAGTCTGTGTGTGTGCGTGTGTGTGTGTGTGTGTGTGTCCATGAAAACACGTGTATGAAAAGGTATTGTGTGTGTTGTGTTCCAATTGCACACTTGAGGAGTCAAAGAATGAGAAATTATAAAATATGGGTGGAGGACAGACACCATAACTATTTAAACTTGTAAATATTCTGAAGAGCATCTGACAAGAACTGAAACATTCTGTTGAAATTGAAGTCCTTATCCAAACAAAACAGAGTATTTTGTCCCTACCTTGTCAGCGTTCTCTGCAGCCAGCAGGTTGGTGGCAAGCGTCTGCAGTTTGTGTTGGGCCATGTTCTTCAGCGCTGCCAGGCTGCGTCGAGTCATCGCCTGCTTCAGGTTCACAGCCGAGTGGCTCAGAGCGTCCACGGTGGCTGGAGCGAGCTCGTCACAGGCGTTCAGGATCTCTACAGCAGTTATACCCATCACACAGCGGTCCAAGGCTCCTGGAAACAAAAACAAGGAAAGAGAACATTAAAGAGGCGAACGGGGGAACTTTAATGAAAAGGAATAGAGGATTTGGTCAAGAGGAATCTCAACATTTTCTAACATTGTGCTTCTTGGGGTTCTTGGTCCCAAGAAGATCATGCTTGTGTCGTACAACTGCAAACCTTCTACTGACCACTGGAGGGAGCCTTCACTGGTTGTTAGAAGTAGTCAGATTGTGTAGAAGTCTATGAGAAAGCCACCTGACAATTATGAAATAGTCTTTTTAATGCTTAATCACTTTCTGTCCAAATATGGTCACTTCTGGCTCAAAAGAAAAACCAAGATGGCAATGGCCAAAATTCAAAATCTAAGGCTTCAAAAGACAAAGAACCCCATGGGTGATGTCTTTGAGGCTATGTCCACTTCTTATTAACAGGCTATGGTTTTGTCTCAGCCTCCTTCTGTCTGTGATCTCTGTTTTTTTATCAATCTTTCTCTTCTCGTCCTTGCACTCTCCTTCCATTTATATCAATCTTCCAAACTCTCTCGCACCATCTCCCCGTCGCCTCGGCACTCACTATCATCATCTAATGTCTCTTGAATATGATTCAGGTCACAGATAAAGACTTCTCCATCTCTGACTGCAACAATCCTCAACCTTTAGCGAAAGGAAAAAAGGTTTAGAGAGACATCATTAGCTGCAGACAGAGCTGACATCAGTGTCGGCTCAGGTATTGAGTGAGAGGAGAAGTGGTGTACCTGTGTGTGAGTGTGATGAAGGGCCTGTGAGCCATGGCCCTATTACATGTCCAACGCCTGAGTACACATACACCTTTTTCAAAATTTCACACTTAGCTACCCTGCAATCTCCCAGCACTACAGCTCACACACACACACACACACACACACACACACACACACACACACACACACACACACACACACACACACACACACACACACACACACACACACACACACACACACACACACACACACACACACACACACACACACACACACACACACACACACACACACACACACACACACACACACACACACACACACACACACACACACACACACACACACAGGGTTTTCCAGTGGCTAGTCATCATTCAAGCTAATGTTCCCTCCCTGCTGTGCCACAAACATGTTTACTGCAGATTGTGTTGTCATGGCAACAACAAAAAGAGAAAGGGGAGAGCAGGGATGTCTGAAGCTGGGACGACATTTAAAGGACTTTTTTTGAGTCACCTGTGTGTGTGTATCGATATCAATCTTCTGTTTGTGTGTTACGTGCTGGTTTCATGATGTTGTTAGCCTAGCTTAGCGTTCTCTTTCTGCAAGTCCGACACAGTCAGACATGAGTCTGCTCGAGGTTAAAAGGAAGTCTTTCCTCGCCACTCTTACTTTTCTCAGTGTTGCCAAGTGTTTTCTCGTGATGGATAAATGTTGGGTCTCTCTATATACATATATATATAACAACCTACGGTCTAGACCAGTGGTTTTCAACTTGTCTACCCTCAGGACCCACCATCACCTACTCATTGAGAAATATTGCCCCAAATTTCTGTTTTTCAACTAATCAGATGAATTTAATTGTGCAGTTTGGACCCAAGAAGGTACAAAAAAAAAAAAAAAAGGGAGAACGAAACAAACTTGTTTAAAAAGAGTTTCACAGACTTCTTGATTTAAAAAAAGTTCCAGTCAAACATTTGCAACCCACTGAAAAGTCTCAGTGACCCACTTTTGGGTCCCTACCCTCAAAAAATGGATTGATTGAACTTGGGGTTCACTACTCGTCTAAAGAAGCTTAGACATGTAGACTGCAGGAGCTGGGGACTTGAAAAGTGGACCCACTTCTACTACAAGACCACCACTGAGCCACATCTGCCCTCAAATCTAAACATTTAATACAACTGTGAAACATAACATTATAAAACTGAGGTTTTAAACTTCTTGACAAACACTGATTGAGACGAGGATCTGCTGCCTTCCTGGTTTCTCACCTGTATCCATCTGCCAGACGTAGACGGAGCCATCGGAGCATCCTACCACCAGGTAGTCGTCTGCAGGACGCCACTTGATGACATGGATGGGGAAGAGGTGTCGGGACGCCAGCATGATGCACTTCCTCTCCCTGAGACTGAGCAGGCCGACGGAGTGGTCGCTGGCCACCGAGCAGACGCAATGCTGCACCCGGGTCTGCAGAGGACACACAGCAGCTCCAATGTCATTCTGGGTACTTTTATATGATGTTTAAGTTTTAGTTTTCAAGAAGTTAAGTGACTAAACTGATCCACATGAGCAGCATGTACATCTGTAGGACAGTAGATAGAGTAGGAAACCAGGGAGAGAGAGAGTGTTGAAAGACATGCGGGAAAGGAGCCACAGGCCGGACTTAAACCCGGGCCGTCCGCTTGGAGGACTGTAGCCTCTGTACATGGGGCACGACCTAACCCCTAGGCCCTCTGCGACCCACATCCCACCATTTTTACAGCTAGATGGAGCAAAACAGCCAGTTATCTTTTTTAATATTGACACACAGAATTGTCCTTTGATCGTATGTGGAAAACTATAAAGAAGCATTTAGTCACTGATTGAAATTGACTCACTTCTGTTTTATTCTTATATGAACATTTTGTATACTGTTTAAGCTGAAAGTTACTATAATTGTAATAAAAGGCTCCATGTTGAGTAACTCTTTAAGCCAGAGAACTTGAATCAGACACTCAGCAGATGAGCCATTTGCAACACAGTGAACTGATGCAACACTTGCTGCTTGAGAACTTCTCATGTTAAATATATTACATTACATTTTCAAACTTAGAACATTCATTTAAGGTTTCATTTGCATTTTCATAACAGTGGACAGATTCTTAACTTCCTGAGTCCTAATTTAAAGACTGTGTCCGACGGGTCATAGCAGCAGCTGACTTCTTGTTTCTATGGCAACAACACATTTTCCGACTATTTGATCTTAATGTCAGTTAAACAATGAGACATTTTTCATTGGTTTCACCGTGCTGTTACTGTGTCTGTGCATTTCACATTCGACCACAGCTACACAAAGTCATTAGAGCTATTTCCATAGTAACTACGATGACATCATCCCCTTAACATTTACATCTAATGTCAGCAAAATAACAAAGTCCTTTTCACGAGGTCCAGCACACGGATGCAAAGAGGAACAAAAGGCACAGCGAAAAAATAGAAGAAGTGAAAAGACCAAAAAGAAAGAAACACAGAGACTGATATGTCATGAGGTCTTACGCTGCAGTTTTCCGGTGGGACGATGAGCTGGGTGATCTCGCCTCCATGCACACAGAAAATGTGCTTCATCTCTCCAGTGAAAATGTCCCAGACGATGACGGAGAAGTCCACACCACCGGACACCAGCGAGCGCTGGTCGTAGCGTGGCGAGATCTGGTACGGGTACAGGACACACGTCACCTTGTTCCTGTGGCCGCGCAGGGTGCGATGTGGCGGCCAGCCTATGGGAAGGACAAACACAACTCTCAGAACTGAGGAAAAACTTTGAGGACAACACTGAGGACAGTTTTAATGCCTCTGAAGTCAGCTGTAGATCTTTTGATCCATGTATTCTGATTTAAATTTTAAGTTTGTGAAAATATTTTTCCCAAAATTCAGACACCGTGAAATGATTCTGATTCTGTTACTTTAATGTTTTTATCTGACAACATTTTTATTAAACACACTGCTAAAAAAAACAACAACAATCTAACCAATCAGAGAAGCGATGAAAAATCTACCTCTGTGTTCTGCGAGGTAAAATATATTTGTTTTATTCTATGGAGTCTTGTTGTTCAAACAGGAGCACAGGGACGATTGATACTCTGAAAAAAAACTCAACTTCTGTAGCGTTCTGAGTCTTTGGTGGCACAAAACGAGTGGTTTCATTTGTCAACATTTGATTGGCCGCATTACTGCCCAAGAAATACTTTCTTACTTCTTACTTTGGAGAAATTACAAGTGAAAGAGAATACTGGAGCATTTCCAAACATTTGTACTTATAGGTCCTCAAAACCTCTGAAATATCTCTCATGTAAAGAAAAATACCAGAGTTCGCCTTTAATGTAAACTTCAGACTTCATGTTAACAGTTGATTCCCGGTAAATGTTTTCCAGATTTATTAAGTAAACTAAGGACAATTTTCCCCTGAACGTGTCCCCCCTCCCTCACCTCTCCTGAGCATGTGCTCGCCCTGCAGCAGCTGGACGATGGCGGTCTGAGTAGCAGGGACCAGGATGATGCTGCCGTCTTCTCTCCCGCACACCAGGCGACCCTGAGAGGGGATGTACACGCTGGCCGTCACCTGAGGAAACACAATACACACACACACACACACACACACACACACACACAAGTGTAAATCTACAAGTAGAGTTATTGAGTTGTTGATTTAGATTTAAGTAGGCTGCAATAACCTCCAGATGTTTTGTTCAAATGCACAGAAACTACACAGTCAGAGATACTAGTACAACAAAAGTAATCATTATATTCATATCAGAAAGGAGATTTAACATGAATTTAAAATAAAGAGAAGAAAGGAAAAAACGTCATATGCTTTACGATTCCTCAAACCAAAACTCAAAGGAGCAGCTTTACAGGACTGCAGAGCCTGAACTCCTTTGTTGACCACATGGAAACATTTTGAAAGTGCAAATCAAACTAAAGAAATACTGACATAAATGTAACTCATATGTTTTCAGAGTTCAAACCTTGATGGGTTCTTCTTTCCCAGGCAGGACGCTGAGCTGGTCGATGATTCCTGCAGACACGGGGGTCAACTTATCAAACGCCTCCTGGAGACTGACGGTGGATGATACCTGCAGCTCTGAGCAGAGAGACAAAGAGAGACAGAGATAAAAGTCAAAACCAGAGAGAAGGATGTCTAGAGACCAGTCTACATAAATTGAACAACAATTCTAAATTGTTTGTGGTCGTTTTAGTGTTTGAATTTGTAGTTTTTTTACATATGTACACTACTTTAGCACATCATTTCAGGACTAGGAGTGCCAGGGTACTATTTATTGTTATCTGAAAAACAAACTAATAAAGTAAGCAGAGATGGTTCTGTATTACTTCTCACCCTGTTTGCCTTTTGTTACTGATTGTGCTTCCCTTGTACTTTTTAAAAAAACTGACTAACATTAATGTATTAGTAGCAGTAACTAAAAGGCATTATTTATGGCAGTGCTGTTGTATTTTCTGTGTAAATCTTTTTATTTATATATTGTCAGTTCATACCTGCAGTTATGGACTGCCGCTGTGGAGGCGAGGCGTCTGGGATGCTCCACATGGACAGTCTCCCTGCTGAGTCACCCTGGATCAGCAGCTTATGGAAAGGCTCCCGCCGGCCGAAGAAGAACCGAGTCACAGGAGGACAGATCAGGAGCTGCAGGACGGATTGGGGAAAAAACACACATCAACATCTGAATACATGAAGATTCTGATCTCCCAATTACATGCATGGAACTTGTGAACCCTTAAAGACTCCCTTGAGATGGACTTTCTTAGCTTTTATAAATGCCATTGTTGGTCTGAGTTTCATGCCCACATGAAGATGAAGTGTTAGGTTTTGCTCTTTTGTTTCATCCATAAACAGCAACAAAACACAGCAAACCGGAGGAAAACAGAACCAAACATTATCAGATTCACCTGGACATCTGACTCCGCTACAGGCTGAGAAATTAAAATCACATGGTAAAAATTACTAACTTATTCAGACATGCCATTTGGAGAACTTATTCATTCAGGTAAGGGTTAAGACAAAAGGTTGGGCAAAAAGTGTCACAAAATCGATGTGAAGAAACATGAAGAAATCAAACAATCAAACCCAAACAGTATCTTTGTCCCTTTGCTTGATGTCATGAGATGCAACGTCTGTCCACTGAAGGAAATCATGGACGAAATCAAGAGCCATAGACATGGACAGTTGTGTCAAATCTATCACTCTGGATACATGGCAGTCTGACGGGTTTTTTTTGTACATGTAGTTAAATCTCTTCAAGGGTGCAATGTGAAAGTAGGAACAAGTGAAATGAGCTCAGTTGTGTTAACACCAAAACCTGAACAGACGTGTTTCTCATTGCCAGCCACAACAGTGTGGAGATGACTACATACATCACTTTTACAGTTTGAAAGGCGATTAGGCTAACAAGGTAACCTGTCAAAGTGGTGGCGGGTGTTAGCTTCAGAAGTGTGCAGTTCCTCAATAAGGAAATATAAACATTACTGCTGACAAAAGTCCACTTATTCCCTTGTTTCTGCCTTTATATCAACACTTCACACCTAAAACTAACCAAATCATGTGTTCCCTAGGCTCCAAGGAATCCCCATTAGATCCCATATATCAAAATATAATTTTTTACATCAGAAATAAATATGTTGACATCATGATAAATAAAAGTTTTCCCATTTGAATAGCTAATTTCTTTCTTGGTAAAAACTGCATGTTAGGTCGACTTTTCGTCTGTTTTGATTAAATTGAGTCTAACAGTTATTCATAGACTTTCATAACTAGACTCATAGCTGATTCCACTGACAGGTGGACACTTTGTCTCTTCATCAGGAGGCTAAAGGCTCGCCTCAGCTCCACCTCCTTTGACCGTTAAGTTTGAAGCAGCCTTGCCAATATGGCGGCTGCCATCATTGGGCTTCATACAACTCTTCTAAAAACCATGAGTGACGTCACTAAGACTAGGCCCATTTCTTATACAGACCATTGGTATATCTGTATTGTAAATAATGCTAAAAATGCCCATCTTTTCAGAAAAAGCTCACACAGGCAGAGGCTGTTTGTTACTATAATAATGGGGCTTGTTCTTACCAAGCTACAGAGTTCTTACATTAGACCAATTTTTACTGCAGCTAAACATAATCTCTGTCTCTGTCCATTTTTAGGACAAGGTCCTGGAACTGAAGCTCTGCTAAAGGAGGTGAAGGGTTGTGATGATCCATCCCTGTGATAAATGATGGACAGGGTGAACGTTAGTGAACCTGTGGGCAGGTAAAGATGTGCAGCCATGTTAACTGTGACATTTGAAGAGGAACAGAAGCAGTAATGACTGAAGTGTCCTTTGTGTAAAATAATTGATGAGTTCAGCACATCTGAACACCGTGGATGAGCAAAGAGGGAATGCAAAGTGCCACACAATGTTTGCTTAAGACACGATAATCACACACACATGAAGCAAACCACATCTAAAGCCATGATGTGAACAAAACCAACATCAGTGAGAAGACAGCACTGCAGAAGAAAGGCAATCAGAGAGAGAATCTGGATCGGAGAGGGCTTGCAATGATGGTGGGGTACTTTTCTGTTTGTTTCACTTTTGGCTGAAATTCTATATATATGTAAGGACATTTGGAAAAATTGACATAAAAATTGAAGGTAGTGCAAATTTTCCACTCTCACTCAACAAACAGACATTATATTTAAATTAATCTAGTCATTATTTTTTATTGGAGACAAATTATTCCTGAAATGAAACAGAGCTGATTTGAAATCAGGTACTTTATTCACTAAATCATTTCCCTTTGATTATCCATAAACTGGACTGGGAGTTAAATATTAATTAATCAAAATAATAACTCATCCAGATGAACTTTATTTGGACATGAAAATGTCACATTTAGTAGAAAAAGCAGATGTTATAGATAACTACTAGGGCCCAACCGATTTATGAGATTTTAACGGCCCATACCAATATTAATATTATCTTCCTAAGATATATCTGCCATCCGTAGAGATAGATCTACATATACACATATATTGCATTAATCCCTCAAATGCAGTTATCAAACACAACTGGAAAGTAACTGTACATATGTGAGTGATAATGCTTGTTGTAAGCCATATAGCACCCTCTGCTGGTGACACCAGAAAGAGTACTGCTAGTCTAGTACAATGATACTCAAATGAAATGCAATTTGAATAAATCTTAAAATATCGGTGCATATCTGCTTTAAAATTACCCGATACCGATAGTAACTTGATATGCTAATATCAGCCGATTTATCGGCTGGCCAATATATCGGTCGGACTCTAATAACTACAAAAAGTTCAGCCAATTAAAAAAACATTGCCCAACTTCTAATTAAAGAGAAATAAATACAAAACACATTTTTTTTGCTACAAATTGTTGAAAAGGAACACTTAAGGTCTGCCGAACACAGAAACAACATATAGTTTTATATGTTACGACTACAAATATGAAAAAGGTAAACGTTGGATTATAATTAGCTTATAATAAATGTTTTATCCATTTCTGTTTATTTTAAACTTGATTTCACTTGCTACTATTACTTTCACCATCTTCTATCTTAAGTGAGTGACTATTTGCAAAATATATAATATTGCCGTTTTAAAGTTGAAGACTGTTCTTTAACTGTAAACTGTCGAGCAAATTTCAACTCCCTCAAGTCCATTATGCGTCTAGCTTGTATTGTTAGCATTTATCTTGGGGTTTAAAGTTTACTGGCAAAGATACAAACTGTATAGTTCAAATCTTACAGGTGCAAGTAAGACAAGAAACCAGATACTTTCCAAAATGTCAAGTATTTCTATCACTTCTGTCCTGAATGTGTCATAAACACAGGGACTTTGCATGAATCTTCATCAGTATGAAGATAGATGAGGGGGGTGATGGTGCTTTTGGAAGAGGAGTTTTGTTTTAGTGGGAGGAGAGCATGAAGTAAGGGAACCAGAGTGAGTTCAGTCTCTCAGTCAGGCAGGAAGGAAAACCGAAGAGAGGAGCAAACTAAACAGGTAGGTCACTTTAAACATCATCGACTCAGCGGCTCACATTTCTATCCAAACACTGATTGAATAAATCTGATGTCTACATTATGAATTCATGAACATCTGTGCACATTGGATGCTGCTTCTCTTGGAAATAAAGGATAGCACAAGATATAATAAAGGATCAAATTTTACTTGACGGACATAACCATTTCTATTTTTTCCTCGAAATATGGTGTTCCCCAAGGGTCTGGTCTCGATCCTCTAATATTTCTACATGCAATACATGCTCAGTAAGGTTAAATTAAACCAATGTTTATATAAATGATTCCTGAGGTTTTAACGTTCCTTTTGAAGTGCTATGCCTCATCAGAAATACAGAGCATCTATTTTAGAGGACTTTACATCATATTTATTTTAGGGTTTATTAAACTTCATAGGAAATGAAAATTTAAGCTTCATAAAATAAACAGTTTTCGAGTGAGGCCTTTGTTTAAACTATAATCTTGTTTCAACAGTAATAACGAGATGAGGTCATTGGTCAATCGAAATGTACATTCTTAGCAAATAATTAGAGCAACAAGTTGCAATCTATCTGCAAGCCATGTTGGATTCATATTTCTTGTATTGTCCTTTTTTATCCTTTTTATAGCGCCCTGTATTTTTCTATTGTATCACTGAATTTCTCCCTGTGGGAGATCAATAAAGCTCATCTATGACCAAGTATTATGGCCACAGTAAAGAAAAAAATAACTACAATTTCGCAATTAGACTTGAAATTTATGAGAATAAAGTCTTACAATTTTCATTCAAACTTGGAGAAGGAGATGAATTAATGAGCTTATTGTAGCTGATATTTATAATTTATGTCATAGTTTTGGTTGTTTGTGCTTCCTGTAAGAGAGTTAAAAGAAAACTGATCTGAAATCTGGAAACTTTTTCTGACTCTCTGTCATATTTTTCCACTAATTCTCTTTTAGTCTCTGTTATGAAATTAAAAATGTCTTTTTTTGTAATGGGGACAAACAATCAACAAGAGAGCACTTTGCTTTACTTAAATTATTATGACAATGTGTACCTTTCAGATTCCTCCTTCCATCCAGAATAGAATATGATATGATTTACAAACATAAATAAACAGCTCAGTAGGTTAATTAATAATAGTCATGTAGCAACAAAACCCTTTAAGCTCAAATATAATGTTTTCAAACAAAAAATATTTTCTGTATTTGGACCCACTTTGTGTTGTTTCATTCAGAGTTTAACTATTGAATTAGTTTCTGAAATGTCCCTGTTTGTTAACACATTGCAGGGTGAATGCGAACCACTGTGTGGATGTTTCAGTTTCACTGCTGTTCTCAGAGTTCGCTCCTCTCAGCTCGGGTCCTTATTTCTGGCAGAGCTGCAAAATCACAACTTTTGAATAGTCAAGTTGACCTCTAACAAACCTTTAAACAAGAACTGGTGAATAAAGTAAACCTTTTCATTTACAACAACTTAAAATTTCCCTTATAAAGGGAATATACTTGACATATCATTGCATTGAGTTTGTTTCTTTAGATATCAGCGTCTGAAACTTGCTGCAGACAAATATTGAAGTAAAATGTAAAGAGTAAATAGTACTGTGTATTCAAATTACAACTACTAAAAAAATATCAGTGTAGGTATCGTAGTTTTACGCATTTCAGCTTTTGCAGCTCAGCCAAGAATCTGAACTATCTTCTTCCTGCCTTTTTTTCAAGTGAGCATTTTCTGGGCCTTACTGGTGCCTCTAGAGGCCGGTGGTGGTATAGCAGCTCTGGGGTGTAGAGCTCCAAGTCGCACCCGCTGGCAGGGATGCACATCACCTCCACAACCCCCACCTCCTCCTCCTCCTCACCTCCTTCTCCTTCCTTCTGAGAGAAGTGAGGAGGTCAAAGGAGGGACGGGGGAGGGGGGCAGAGGACAACAGAAGGAACAACAAAAATAACAAAAGGCACAGACAACAAATAAATACAAACAAGACAATAACTCATAAATGCACATAAATCAACATACTGAAGGTCCACATGAAATCATAACTATACAGAACACAGAAACACCAGGTGGATACACAAGGATTAGTCTCCGCATTACGGCGAAAAAGGTCCTGAAATGTCTCTACTTTGAGTTAAAAAATTAGAAGATTTTAGAGTTCATTGTTGTCAGTGAATTCTTAATAAGATCTCGTATTACAATTATGGCCTCAACTCATGTTATAGCCACAGAATCAACAGCTTGTAGCTACAGAATTATGTTTTCTTAAATATTCTGAATGGTTAATGTAATAAAAAAGTAAATCTCCACATCACTAAATCCAACTTTGTAACAACTTAATAATGCCCTAAAAGCGAGATTACATCTCAATGAGATTCTTGGGAAATATTTAGTGATTTGTGTATCAATATGAACAGTGTTCACATCTGATGTTATTGTGGGAAAGAGAAAAACTCGCTCAAAGGAATACGAGAGCAGAGCAGTGACTGTGCTCAGGACAGCGAACGCATAAAAGACAGCTGAAATAAAACTAATAATTCATGCTTTTCTGTTGGGGTCGGCGTTTGGTCACATTGGGGTGGCGGGCCAACACTCTGATCGGAAGTGGAAACACTGAAGAAGTTACCATGAATGAAACTCAACACTTTCTGTAGCTATTATAGCTAAAAGGCCTTTTGTTTGGTTAGTAAGTGCTGTGGAGACTTTGAAGCACATTGACAGAGATCACAGTTAAACATAGACTTTACAATGCAAATAAAACTGCACATTTCTGCACCTTCCATTGGGTGTAACCAAAACAAACGTATTCATCACATTTCTTACATTAGCAATAAGCGTGTTGCTTGTTTCAAAACATTTATAACAAGCAGGTCCTGAGGAGAACTAAGGCTATAGTGGTCTGCTCAAATCACCCATTAAGAGTGAGTCTGATCTTTTACCCTCAGGTCGCTCAGGTCGTCGTTTCAGAGCTCCTGTGAAGAAGACTCCAGGTCTCATTTGTCCCCACTGCAAATTACTATAGTAAACATCAATTAGCCCTCAGGTCTCTCTTCTTGCACTTTAGTCACTCATTTGCACACCTCCATACTGCACGTTAGTAAAGTGTTACATTTTGGGATGAGGTCTTGTTTGATGTTACTGTGATGCTTTATATGGTTTCATTTTGTTTTGTGTTATCAGACTTTTTATCTCATGTTTGATTTGGATTTTACGGTGATGTTGTCCTTGTATGTGTTGTCTTCTGTGCACTCCTGCTGCAAAACAAATATCCCTATGTGGTACAATAAAGAATATGAACCTGAATCAGGATCACATCCTCTAGATTTTACTACAGAGCAGTTAAAAAGTACTCTATTACCTTTATTCATGTTGTGTCTACCCTTCACTGATATATATACTTCTGTCACCTTGTTACGGGGGAGCTGGACTTCAACTGTGCAAAGGTATGACATAAAAACGTCTGGATGTTGCATGTAATTCTGTCTGTCGTTCTTCAGGCTGATATTTGATTAACTGGTCAAACAAGATGGTGTTAGCAGCTCTGATGAGGCCTTGTGATCAATAATCTTAGGGCACAAAGTTCAGTTGGGAAAAAACAGAGACGCATACTTTCACTCCACTACTCTCATCCCATATCATTTGAAAAGCGACAGCTAGTTTAATTTTCAGATAGTCCTAACAGAGCTACAACTGTGACACATGATGATGAGGCTTTTTGTCCTGTTGCATTGCAGGAGTCTGCAGGAAATATTTTCCTGGGTTGTCCCAAATATCCCAAGCCTGAATAGCAATCCTTTAATAATACTATTTTTTATAATTCTTCATACACAAAATTACAACGCTTAGAATATAGGTAGTTTGAGAGTCATGTGTTGGTTGGAAACTTAAAGCGTACAGTATATAAAAGGTATAACTTGAACACAGTGAAAGACAGAAGGCTGACCTGTTTGTCTGAGAAGCCGGAGATGCTGTAGATCAGTGGAGGGATTGAGCCTTCTTTGGTTTTCCCAACATCGCTGCGGAAATGTTCACTAGCAGGCGAACAGCTGAGGAATACACACAGAAGTCATAGTCAAAAAAGGGCCCTCTGTTTGTCCAGCTCCCATGACTTTAGCTGAGCCTGGAAGTGAGTCTGAGCTCCTGGTCTGCAGTGATCACACCATTACCTGGCTGGTAGTTTGTAGATGTAACTGCAGCCGTCTTCGGTCCAGATGATGACTCTGTCAGCAGAGATGAACTCTCCTCCGGTCCAGGCCTGGTCGTTCTCGCTGGGCACCGAGCAGAGCAACGAGTAGTCGCCTGCATCAAACACCTGACACAGAGAGATAGACAGGTCTCTTATTAGGGTGTTTAGCTCTGGCTGAGACTTAAGAGAGCGAATAATTCTGGTCCATGCAGCCTTCTACTGGAACACTTTGTATGTACTATTTACTGAATCTTACCCTCCAGTACTTTGAACAGACGACGAGCAGGCTGCTCTGAGTGAAGGTGCAGAAGGAAACACTCTGACAGCCCTGACAGTAGATGGGTTTGGACTCTTCTTCAAACACAGGGTCCAGGTCCTGAAAACACAAACATACACACACACACAAGACAGATAAAACAAATTGAGCCTGAGCTCCTTTACATGTCAACATCTGGGGTAGAACCAAAAATATGTTTTTTTATGTTTATTTTTATTGTGGTAAAATTATCAAGTTCTCTTAATTATTTATAATCATATCATGTTCTTTTTTGGGGGGGACGGGGTCAATGTAATCAAATACACATCTTTATGGTACTGTATGGATTCTCTAGTACCAGCTAACATGAAAAGATTTAAAAATTTTCCCTGAAATAATGTGAAGTGTATTTCTTTGCTCTGACAGTACAAAACGTGGTGCTATTAAGTTGGACGTTACAGCGACACATAAAAAAACTAACCTTTCTAACTGTTATGTACATGGTGCTGTGATCTTTATAACGTGAGTATTTTCAGTAATATTTCATCATAAACTCTTGTGACACAGAGGTTTTATGCTGACACACAGCCATTAAAGTCACTGCATGTCTGTATCTATCACTGAGTTTGATTTGATTTCCTGCAGCACACACGGCTGATTGTACACACTGATGTTTAATCAAAAAGAACATCTGTATGCCGGTGTACCTGCATCCTGCTGACCTCAGCTGTGATGATCCAGACTTTCAAAATCCCCGTCACTGACACGGCCACCACGGTGTCCTCTGCACAGAGAAAGAACGTTCATGTCTCGTGGTTGATATTACATGCCATTGTCTATTTACATGAAAGAACATGGGTATATTTTCACAAGCCAACATTTAACATGAACGTGTAATGAGACAATTTAGCACATTAACATGCAATGTTAGTATTATCTAACAGTAGAACTAGAAAAGGAAAGCATGACATATGTGCTGCAAACAGATTGAAAATAACCCGACCTCCCCTTGAGAAACGTTCCCGTCTGCGTCTCTCACCTTGAGTTCTGTGGGAGCGGATGATGCTCATAGAGCTGATCCAGTCAGGGGAGATCTTAGACACCAGCGAGTACAGGACCTCCAGGCTGGTGGCGTCCACCACAAGGATTTCTGGGTAATGGCCGTTACAGAGCAGACGTCCCTCCCGCTCAGTGCCAATGGTGAACTGATAGAACTGGAAGACCACAGAGGAGGGAGGGGAGACAAGGAGGAGACACAGAGAGAAAGAGAGTAGATTTGAATGACTTAATTCTTAAATAAATAACAGCTTTTATAAAAAGAATTTAGCTTTAAGTAGTGTTTATCTTACATTAATGCCAGTGTGAGCACAGGCCAGCTTGGTGAACTCAATACAGCGTCCGTCATTCACATCCCATAAACACATCTCCCTGTGGAAACATGAACAAATTCAATTCAGACTTGTGTATGAATACAGATAGACAGCCCTTCTGTTTGACTCTCTAGAGCTGCAACCACTGAAATACTGAAGAATCACCTGACATGAAAACAACTGATCGCAATTACCAGGTCAAAGCACCAAACCTGGAAAACACAAGCCTGCTATAGTCCCGAGCATGAGGGAAAAAAAGGTCAACTAGAGTACAGACATGTTTGTTTGTGACATCTGCCGCTTCATCCCCTCAGGAAAACTCACCGCTATTCCAAATCTTTCATTCCATCTGCCATCAGGCTGTTAAACCTCAGAATGAAAACCTCATTGTATTTTTTCCTTATTTTGTTCCTTGTTTTTTGTGTCTATACTTGTGACTCCTGCGTCAGTGGCCTATACGCACTCTCCTTAAATGAGCTTCTCATCTTTGCCTGTCCGTTGTGTGTGTCTTTACCCAAAGAGACCACACGAGGGTGCTACTGTGCCAGGGCTCGTCTCTGTCGCTGTTTGTTTGTAAATGTCTGCATGGTCTGGGTGGACTGTGGAACAGAATTGCCCTCTGGGATAACTAAAGTTTTCTTCATCTCTCAGACCCAAAGGAAGTAAGAACAATAACATGTATTTCTAAATACAACATTTAGGAGACATCTGGTAAGTTGGTGAGTGCAAGATAACAAATGTTTAAGATTATGAGGCGTTTTGGGAACGATGCTGGTGGTTCTATTCAGAGCAAGTTATCACAATCAATGAAAATCTTCTGACCAATCAAAACACACTCACCCGCTTTCTGATGCACTGACGATGTACTGCTTGTCACTGCATGCACTGGCTTTAGACAGACAGGTGATGGAGGCTGTGTGACCAAATAACATGGCCCTGGGACAAATCTGAAGCAGAAGAAGAAGACGACAGACTGGGAGTTATAACAATACAATAAAAAGCTGAGCAAATAAGAGGTAGCATACAAACTCCCACACAACAACCATCTTCATCACCACTTTCCCCTCCTCTCATCAGTACCTCCAGCTCAGGCGTCATGTCCCACAGGCAGATCTGTCCGTCATGGCAGCCGGTGATGATGGTGCTGAAGTCGTCCATCACCAGTAGGCTGCTGATGCAGTGGGTGGGAGCCGTGCGGCCCCATAGCACTATGGGTAGAACCAGGTTGTTCCCCGACATTATGCTGATGTGTCTGGAAGAATGGACAGAGAGTAGTTTGTTATTTTTTTATAGTTTGTCATCATTTCATCGCTCTACATTTGTAAATAATGTTGAAATTATGGTTTTGAAAAAAAGTGGTTGAAAGCATGAACAAATGAAATGCCCTGATGTCAAAGACTGTGTTTGGTGGATCTAGTGAAAAAGTAACAGGAATCATCATACTTTATTAAGTATTTGAAGGGGACCATATTTTCCATTATTGGGTGAGTTGAATGATTGAACTCATTCAATGAGCTGGCTTACCCAGACGTATACAGTCTTCTTTGTGTTTGCAGATTTGCATACTATAATAAACTATTTATTTGACTTCAGAGAGGTGTGAGCAGTGCTCCTGTAGTTTGCTTTCATTTTCATAATGTATCTAATTTTATGTATCTAGTCTGTTGTTCTTCTGAATCTCTCAAACTGTCACACTGTTCATATCACACAAAACGTTATGAAAGTTTAGCTACATTGTAAAAGATAAATATACACCGTTTTTTCTTCTTCTCATAAGGTTGTTGAATTTGCAGACAGGACAGTGAGGCAGATCTCTAGACCTTGGATATTAATTAGTATTATATTTCATATTGATATTTAAATTATGCATATTTGTACAACTGTTCATTTGTTTAAAGTAGTTTACAGTTTTTTTATATTTCACCAGTGAACCAGCTCAGTCTGTAGGGACTTGGGATGGGAACCGGAGGGTTGCCAAGCCAAGCCTGGAAATTTGTCTGGTAGCTGGAAAGGTGCCAATTCACTTCCTTAGTGCTTCTGATGTGCTCTTGTGAAAGGTTCATCCAGCTGCTAAGGTGCTCTTTCTCTCCATTAGTGCATGTCCAAAGGATCCTGTTTGTGTATTTCAGCCGATGTGTGCATGTATCAACAACAGAGTGTAAACATTTACCCTGGAGGGATTCATAAAGGAGATCTTCCTCTTATCTCTGGTCGTTAGCTATGTAATAGTAAAAGGTGGCTAACACTGATCATTTTAGCATCCTGACATGCTGATGTTTAGCAAGCTGAAAGATCAGCAGGCACTGTATGTATAGTATAGTGAGAGACTGAAATTAACATGATCATTTCCCCAAATAAACACAATCAACAGGACTTGAGACATTTACATATGAACCAGGTCAGAGTGAGAGTCACGAATCGTCCTCCTGTCATGAAGACAGACCCAGAAACAGCTGTGATCGTTTGAAGAATAAAACACATTGAACATGTCTCCATCCTAAAGTCCAAATGTAGTATTTGGAGCTTCACTTAATGAATTAACCTTGATGTTACGTTCAGGTTAACGAGCTGCTTAGCGATATTTTGAGGACGCATTCATTTTGCTTTCAGTTGCTGGACAGTCCCCGAAACATCGGAACCGCCTGAGACACTGGTAGTTTTTACATATGTCCATTATGAAGCTACATGTCACAGATGGTCGGACATTAGAAAAAACATTAGCTGTGCTGTGATCCATAAAATGCTGCAATGTCGCTACTACCGGGTTAGCAACACGGCTAACGGGACCAAAACACAGAGTTAAAAATTACAATTACGTACCTCTAAAGCAGTCCTACTGGGACATTTCCTTCTTTTGGAAGGTTTTACAGTGAAAGTGGGCCGCTGTGGCAAATGTGATCCAATATTATCCTCTTTTTCGGCTTATTTTCGGCTGCTTATGCCACTGACGAACCGATCTGTTCGGTCAGCTGATCACGCGACCACTGAGAGCTGCTTCCGGTCAAAGTAAAAGCATGAACCGTTACTTGCCGTTTTCCCCTTCTTTTCTTTATTATTTATATTATTTATAATCTATGCATTCATTTTCTATTAAGTAATGTATTTCGGAGCAATGGACCACAGAACATTTGGTTTGAGGAAAGAAGGATTTTTCTCGATGTATACAACAATACAGTAATATACAAACATCTAAAAAAATTGTTCTTTTTGACTTCCTGAATGTATTTGGTCAACTGAGAAAGAAGATGTCTGATTTAAAGCTCAGAGTAAATGTATTAAGTTTAAGTACGGGTTTTATTTTGAAAGTCTTATATTTCTTGCTTGATAGACTTCCGATATGATTAGTTAGCCTTCAAAATAAAACCACCATACTGCAAGTTGTAAATGTCAGCAAATATTTACACTATGGTCAGCACGCAGCTTTTTATAAACCATTTTATGTCATCCAACGTCCACTAAGTTGATTTGCTGATGAAAGACATTTAGTAGTTTTTGTGTTTCTTAAAAAAATAATTTTGGAGATTGGTGAGAAAGAAGAAACCTTACAGCACTTTTTTAATGTCATATGTCACAAAGATTTTGTGTTAATATATAAATTCTATATAAAAAATGCTGATTTTCGCCCAAGATTAATGATATTCCATCGTTTGATACCTATAAAAAATGTAATATGAATCATGAAAATAATCTGTTTCTGACATGATGCATTTTATTTTACTTAGATGTAAATATATTCTCTGTGGTAGAGCAGAAAAGGTAAACCCAACTGATACATAAATTACTTTAAACTGTTTTTCTTATTTCTGAAAAAATGAACTCTAGCAAGATTGTAAGAAAGATCGGTGCTGACTTGTCAAATTGTACTGTTTTAATTGACCACTTTTTTATATTTTAGGTCAAGTGTTTTTCTCCTTTTTTATATGCCCGATGTATAATTTATCAGCTTACACTTTTGTTGTTGTAGTTTTATCAAAAAATATCTTTTGTTATTTTGTTTAACTGTCTTTTTTCATGTCTTAAGGTTTACTGTTATTGTGACGTTTGTATGTTTATCCTCTACGAGATTTTGTAGGATTATTCTGTTGTATGTTTATAAAACTTCAATAAATAAAAAATAATAACAATGTCTGTTGAATAGCGGAAACCGGAAGTCTGAGCGCTGTAGTGTTGCTAACAAGTTTGAGATTCACGTTTTGTGGGCGCAACGCAGCACGTGTCAAGCGATACACTGTGGATTTTTGACAATTTCATCTCAATATTTGGTTTTTATAGGAATACTTTATTTCCTTTGATGAAGACGAGCAGCAGTTTGACTTGATGGACGCGTGTCATGATGATTTGAAGAGGAGAAAGGTGTTTATTCATGCTCGCTAGCTAACTGCGTGAAGCTAACGTTAGCCGAGCCGGAGGACAACATGTTCAGACTTGTTTCCAGACTCGCTGTGAGAGTGGAGAGACAACGACAAACAGAGAATAAGAAAGCCTCACAGCTGCTATAATTATTTTTAGGACGTATAGAAATGGATTACCAATTTCCACAGCAGCTTTTTCCTTCTTTTTATAACTGCGGACCTCCGGACTCAGCCCTGAAACACCGCGCTGGAAGCTGGGGCTGCTACGACCGAGTGAGAGCTCAGGTGGGTCAGCTGTTAGCTCAATGCTAATCACTTGTGCTAACACGGGAAAATAATGCATGTGCATTTACGAAAGATTTTTTTTATGATAGAAGCTTTTACATGCAAGCTGCCTGTTAATAAATGACCCTCATGTTTTTCTGAATGTATAAATCACAATATTCGGTGTTTTTGTTTGATGTCTTAATTATTCAAGGCAACTATCAACCACGTGTAACAATAGTCTAAGTACAATATGTAACGTTTTTGTTTATTGTTGTTTTATTTATTGTATTGCTCTAAAGCCTTTATCTTTCTCTAGTCCTTCTGATATCATGTTCTAACATTCATTTACTGCTTTTATTTACCTACTTATTTGTCTTGTTGCTTAATATCTTCCTTACTTCCAGGCTTGGCTTCATCTGTCAAAGCACTTTGTAATCGTATATCTTTAAAGCTGCTACATAAATACAGTTATTATCATGATTAATATCCTTTTTATAACTTTTGAGCTGTTCATACATGTCTCTTTTCCCCATTGTGGGGCAAATACAGTTAAATATTGACTCTAAAATGTGGTTATGAATTGTTTTGTTGCTGAAAAAGCATTGACTCATGTCAGATTTCACTATGCTCAGTCAAAAAAAGTAAAGATTTATTTATTATTTATTATTATTATTTATTTTGTTTTTTTGCTTTACTTTAGATTTTTTTTGAAGCCTCGTGTCTCATCAGCTGAGGCTTTATATAAAAGAGCAAAGTTTCATTCAATTATTTTTTCCAAGTGGTGATGTTTGTTTTTGAGATCTGTATCTCTGCGGCTGCTGCCTTACTTCTTTTTCTGTTGTTATGTTTGTGGTTTCAGAGTCATGCTGGTCCTCTCTCCAGCTGGACCTTTATATCCAGGCATCAGGTCAAAGGGGAGACATGGCGCCACACTGAGCCGGTAACGATTCCCCTCCTGTCCCCGAAAAAATGTGAGTCCCTCCCCAAAATGAATGGAGGTCATTCATATCTCAAATGTTGTTCAACTTGTAGTTTAGGTGCCAAAGAAGGCCTGAGACTCTTTATTTATCACCTGAAATGACATTATTTTCTCAATGTTCACGAACAAAAAAAACTCTTAACTGTTTAGATTATGTTTTAAATCTGTTGGCACTTTGCTGAGGCTTTCTGCTAAGCTTGAAGTTCACGCTGATTTGATTTTTCTGGGTGAACAATTTGAGGGAAATAATTGGGTAAGACAAATTGTGATTGAATACATCAATGACATGATACAGAGGATAACAGAGAATTAAGTGATTGTACCCTTGTTTGTATCTTATTACCAAGAGCAATGATAATAATTCAAACTGTTCAGATTCCCTTCACATATCCTTCATTCTTTTAGTCTCATTGTTTTCATTTTTATATTGATTCTTAATATTTTTGTTAACATGTTTTCCAGCTGTCCTTTGGCCTTTAACGCCTCCAAATCCACTGGACTTCAGAGAACATGTGAGTACATTACTCCAAGAAACTATTTAGAATCAGGTTTAAGGGATGTGTGTGAGGATGTTTTATATTATCCACGTTGTGATTCACATCTGAATAAATGTAACAAATTAATCTAAACCTGTCTGATTTATAATCCTCATAATTTGTGTGGATGCAGCATGTTTGTGTATGTGTTTGTAGTTGTAATTAAAGGATTATAAATGGATTGTTTTCTTATTTAGATGCAGAACTTCTTCATGGATCACTGTCAGGACGCCTTTGGGTGCACTAGTGAACTTCTAGGGGAAAACTTCTACTTCAAACACGGAAGGAAAGCGGTGAGGCTCACAATAACTGACTTTATTTATGTTTTCATGTATCCAAATAGTTTTGTTTGAATGCTTGTTAGCCAAAGTACACAATCTACAAATGCCGTCTTCATTGAGCCTCTTGAAGCTTTTTAAACTGAGCTGTGAGATAAGTTTTAAGATTCCTAACAGCTGATTGTTTTGTAGTTGTTCTGTTACATTATCTATTTTCTATTATAATAATAATATCTTTATTTGTATATAACTTTTAAATACAAAATGCTCTGACATATGCAGAATATAACATAACAACAAAGCACAAGAGTGTAAATAACAACAACAAAAACGCAACCTATGAAAGAGAGACCCAACCAACAACAACCAAACAAAAACCAGACAACATCAGAATACAAACATCACCAGAATTTTAGTATTTGGCCTTAGTTCAGTGTTGAAACAGGTGACATTATTAATGTTACTGTGTTTTGAGTCGTGTAAATGTGTGTTTGTGTGTGTGTTTGTTTTGTTTTTCAGCGTTATCATAAGGATTCAGTCCACATGTGGAAAGTGAAAAAGTTCCTCGACATAATGAATTTAAAAATGTGAGTGGACCTGACAGACTGTTGAGTGAGTGTCAGTGGACAGAACTTTGAATAATATAAAGACAACAACTCACTGAGTATCTTCAGATGTTTTTCATGTTTGTGTTTTTAAAACACGCTGTCTCTTTTTCCAGATGTCAAAGGTCTTATTCATCTGAAACTCTGGACAGGTACAGCGCCCTGCTGTCCGACGCTGTGCACTCTGTCCCTCCTGATCTGCTCGGCGATCTTCTGCATGAGGAGTTGACGGAGCAGAGGGACCGTCTCCTTTTCTCTGAAGGAGCCACAGGGGGTGCTCTGGCCTTTGTTCCCTTCTCACAGAGCTGCAGCGACTCCCAGCACGGCTGCCTCATCTACCCTAGAAACCAGGGACTGGACTGCCTCAGTATCCTGCAGAGAAAGAGAAAACCTGGTTTGAGTTTTTCTATGTTGGGGGTTTAAATAACTAAATGATACAACAATGTTTGTAATTGCTCCAGTAGACTGCTACAAACTACACATCTTCAGTTATATTTCAATCCAAAGAGAGAGAACAATGGAAGTCCATTCAAACGTTCAAGGGGCAAATACTGAGGTCTCAAGTTCTTTTAGTAGATCATAAAGAAGCAAAAGTGAGAGAAGAGGAGGTGACTGTTGCAGAGAACTCCTGAAAACCTCCTTTATTCTCAGAGGAGTTGTATGTGTGAACGCAAACAGCTAAATCTCCGGAGTAGTAGTTCATGTGAAAACTGCTTATTTGTGCAATTTATTGAAATATTTATCAATATCATGACTTTTTATGTGGTTTGGTATCTAAGATTCTGATTTCATGACAACCTTAGGGTTTGTGCTTTTACTACTTTTTGTTTTTGCTGCTTCTGGTTCTTAACGCAATACCTCAGACTTCCACAGAGTGGAGCTGCAGAACCACAGAGGGGGTTCCTCTTGTGTGGACACTAGCAGCAGCAGCCCGTTCAGCTTCCAGCTTAAAGGCCCCGTCAGACAGATCAGCTCGGTCTCCCTGTTGAACCAAAGTATGAAAAAAAAAAAAAAAAAAAAAAGATTTTATTTGCAAGTTTTTATCAGGAGTGTGGTGTCATGTGATCAACCTTTTGTGATAGGCCTGTCTGTTGTCTGCAGGTTGTGTTGCCGTGCGGTCGGATTATCTGTGTGGAGTTTGGAGTTGAGTGAAACAAACGAACCTCGTCTGCTGCAAGCGGTCAACACCAAAGAGGTCGCAACATGCATCAGCGTTAGGTAAGGGGTACAAAATGAGAAGACGACTTTCATAAATATTCAAAATGAGGAAATGGTGCATAAGTAGCGTTTTCTCTGCAATCTGTCGTCAGTCCTCATGTTTTAGGTGAAGTCCTGGTGGCAAGTGAGAGCGGCACACTAAACCTGTGGACTGTCGGCAGAGGGTGAGGTCATTTTATCCAGATGTGCAAACAGCTGTCAAAAGTCCCTTCATGAGTCAGGCTACAATTAAAGAAAACCTCTGCCCCATCAGGATGCAGAAGGTCCGGGAGGAAGACAGCAACCTGTACTTTAACGCTAAGTCAGCATGGCGATGGTGCGAGTTCTCCGCCCACCCGAGGGTGATGCTGTACGCAGACAGGACCGGGGTGGAGCTCACCGACATCAGGGTGAGACCAGTTTGTGGGTCATGTAACGGTTGTCGTGATGTGGTTCTGGTCTTGATATTAACTAAATTCCCTCTATCTTTATTTTTTTGTTCTCCTCCTTATACCTCCCTCCTCGGTCGCTCCAGGGAAGTCCTTTCGTGGGTCACACACTGTTTCGTATCAGCAACACTTCAGAGTGTCGCAGTGGGGAGAGACTCATTCTGTCCAAATATCTGGGAGACGCTCACTGCTTCCACCACCTTGTCACCACTCAGGTACAAAACTACACACAAACATTCTATTATTTACCCCAAAGTATTTTTCAAGTACTCAAAACTTTATTTTACATTGTATGACAGATCCCAATGCCTCTTAAGATACCAAATATGTCCAGTTTTACGTGGGGAAAATGGGTCAAAATGATTCATTATAACGGTTAGAGTTTGTCCTTTGGGAGGGTGCGGTACTTGCGTGTCACCACTAGAGGTCAAAATAGTCAGGGTGTATGTTTATCTTTTGTTCATTTGTAGGAAGTTGTTTAAATAATGTACTTTTTCTGGAACTACAAATCTTCAGAACATAAAGACTTTCAAATCTTTTATTTTTTAAACCCAGATTGTAATGTAAATATAATAAAATAATATTATTTTCAAGAATTTATCATACAGCATACATCCTCCTTATTATGTAAGGAATCTGAAGATATGTGGATTGTTGGTTAGGTTCAACTAAAGGCACATCCCAAACTTGCATCTTTTCAATTCGAGCTGGACGTTTATCATGGATGCATACATAACAATGCTGGGTGGTCCTGACTGAAATAATAGAACATCTGCTGAATGTATTGTCATAAACACGTGTAATCACTTTGGGCATCGTCTGGTTGCATGAAGTTGCCTGCTGAAAGTAATTGTAGTTTCATATGAAAGAACTCTAAAATAAAGGCGGGGGCAGAAGATTTAAAATCAGATGTGTATCTGGTGTTAAAAGTTGCTGATCATACATCCTGTTTTTCTTGAGCTATGAAGTTATAACCATCAAGTACATCTGTGTCAATAAGTCAGACAAACTTGATAATGATGTTTTGACGATGAATAGATGATTGTTATGGAAAGCAGCACATCTTCATCTTCTGAAGTTCTGTGTAGACACCATCCTGCACAACTGACTGCACCTCCTCTCTCAGTATTCAGCCTACATCATGGACGAACGTTTCCCTGGGGTCCCCATGCTGAAGTGGGATCACTATATGCAGTCCCCGCCCATGTTTTGTCACCTTATTCCTGGCTCCGCCTCCTCTGAATCAGCGGGGGGCGGGGCTGTGACCACCAAAGTTCTGTTGGGCTCTCACAGTTCTCAGGAAATCACACTGCTGCAGTACTCAGGTCAGTGTGCAGGGGGGCTGTGATCGTGCAGTTCATTTAGATTTGATTTGGCTTTTCATCTTAATGTGTGACCTTTCCCTCTGTATTTGTTTTTGTTTGTGTTCAGGAGGCAGAGCGGAGGCTTCTTCCAGTCATGGTCCTCCTCAGTCTCTGCTAAGACCCAGAGACAGCCTGAAACACCTTCCTGTCCAGATCCCTCACCGCTGTGAATTCGCAACCAACAGATTGTCATCGCCTGCAGCAGGTTTGTGTTCCAGTGTTTGTTTATTAGCGCGAGAGAGACACTACTCAGCCGTCCCAATTTATAAAACGGGGAAAAATCGAGGCAGCAACTCCCATGTTCTGCATAATTAACTGTTTTTGAGCTTGTAATTGGTCTTATTTTCCACTTTTGCCCTTGATCTTTGTGGCCATTACAGTCTATCCTGCAGCAGCCGCTTGAAGCTATTCACTGAACAATGCCAAAACTTTTTGTACTTATTTGTCATTTAGACCCAAAAACAAGGCTTAAATGGGGCCTAGATTTAAAGAGTCACCAGAAATTTCCATGAAACGTGGCCTGATTGAAGAAACAAACGCACATATATGATATGGCGGATTTTTGTTTTGTTTGCAGGTCTGACTTGTATCCAGATGAAAGGAGGAAAAGAAGCAGGTGCTGAAGAGCGCCTTTGTATCATACAGCTTACAGAAGCAGGAGATATTTTCTATCAGATTCTCGAGCCAGAGCAGCCAGACATGTCTACACCTCCAGCAGCAGAGGACAAACCTTTATCCAACAAACTCCCACAACAACCTCTAAAGGAGGCCACAACACCAGGGAGAAAAACAGCAGCAGGTTCTAAGCAGGTCGTGTCGGAAACGTCGAGCGATGAGGATGTAATCGAGCCGACTCAGGCTGCAATTGTGAACATGTTTGTAAATGAAACACCAGAGAGAAAACAACAAGAATCCTCTGATTCTTCTTCTGAGGATTCAGTGTCAGGAGGGCGGAAAAATCGAAAACTGATGCGGTTGAAGCTGCAGGTTGTTGTCAATGATGAACCAGAGCCAGATCAAAGAAATGGGTTTGATAAGGAGGCCGAAGAAGGAAACAGTGGTGAAAATAATCTGGAGAAGCCTGAAAGCATCACGGAAACAGTCGGCTCGAGCAGCTTAAGTGGTGATGGTCAGACTCGGGTAAAGCTCAGTGACAACGCTCTTGCCAAATGGAAACATTGGCTCATGAAATTGGTGCAAAAGAATTGTGAAAAGAAGCCCCGGTCACACTGCCTACAGCACTTAACAGTCCCAGTCGAAGGCCTCCTGCAGCCGCCAGATAATCGAGAGAGAGATTCTGCAGAAGAAGAGCGCGTTCAGAGCCTGAGGCGAGATCTTAGGGCGTGCATGTCCAGACGCTCACTGCTGGTTCACAGCGCCGTCTCAGACTCCATCACGGCTCCTGACATAAAACCGGTTCCTGACCCGGTGGACACAGACACCTACATGGATCAGCTGAGTCAGCGCCTGACACTCTCCTGGCAGGGCGAGGAGGCGTGGCGGGCCTGGTGGGAAGACAGTTTGGGGCTCAACAGGGAGAAGAAGGTGGCAGATCTGAGGAGGAAGAGGAGGATGGAGAAGGCGGCAAAGAGAGCTTCAGGGCAGCGCATGGAGCTGTCTGGGAGCTTCGCCTCGTCTATGAGCTACCAGGCAGAGCTCTCAGACTTCTCTGATTCGCAGGGCTGGGCCTATGCGACAAGTCTGGAAGCTTTGTCAGAACCAGAGTCCATCAAGTCCCAGTCAGAGGGAATTAAGGAGAGCGGAACACTAAGAGCCACAACACCCTCCATAATGCTAACTGACGGTCCGGATCCTGGTACACCTCAAAGTTTCAGAGATAAACCAGATGAGCAGCGGACTCCCAGAAGCTCCCTCGCCCTCACTCTCACCCAGCCCCAGACACTGAACTCCATCTCACAAACTGACGGTCCAGTTCCTGCTACACCTCAAAGTATTAGAGAGAAACCAGATGAACAGCAGACTCCCGGCAGCTCCCTTACCCAACCCCAGACATCGAGACTGAGCTCCACTTTGCAAACTGACAGTCCGGTTCCGGCTACACCTCAAAGTGTCAGAGAGAAACCAGATGAGCAGCGTACTCCAAGAAGCTCCCGCATCCTCACTCTCAACCAACCCCAGACATCAAGACTGAACTCCACAACGACCAGTCAGAGGAAGAACAAACGTCCAGCAGAGGACGTCCTCAAATCTCTGTTTGCACCACAGGTAAGGCAGAACATGGTTTTTTGTTTTTTCAGTGCCTCACAGATGAGTCACTATCTCGGGATTTATTACTCTGAACTAATCTAGGTTGTGTACTGTAGACCACAACTAATAGTTTCAAACGAACAGCTTCATGCAATTTACCCGTAAAATATTCTGTATGCATTATGTGAATGAAACAATTGAACCCCTTGTTACACTGAGTTGTCACTGCAGCACTCCACCATCTCTGCTTCTTTGTATTCTTCACTAAATCACACAACAGCATAATATCAGTGACCCAGTGTATTTTCTTACACACTGTTACACTGTAATAAATTTCTGCATTTTTGTTTCCAGATTGAGCCCTCGCAGCATGATAGTTTCTACCTAGATGAGGGGAGCAGCCTGCACCCCGCTCCTCCACCTGTAGCCTCCTCCTACTTTCAGCCCCACGGCTCCCAGTTTCTCTCTCAGGAAAGCTTCAGGGCGAACTTGTCTCAGGACTCCTCCGCCTGGTCCCAGTCTCGGACCTTCTCCCAGAGTTCACAGGGGCGACTGGGGCCTTCGCAGGCGTCGCAACCGAAGAAGAAGAAGACGTCTCGGATGGGATTCTGATTCAGTGGTGGAGTTTATTTTCGTTTGGAATACTTGTTGTTTGATTTCAGGTCAAGGAAGGTTTGATTCCTGGTGTCTTCAGCTGCCTTTAAAATGGATGTATGATGGTTTTCTTCACTGGGATTGTACCTGACAACCTGAACTTGCACACTGGATATTAACCTGGAGGTAATATTTTTGGAAACATTTTTGAAAGAATCACATGAAGAACATCTGGAGGCTGAAAAGGACTGACTGCAGACTGGTTTGGTAGGATTCAGCCGAATTTATTATCTTTTGTTTTGTGGTCGTGTCTCCTGAGTGTTATGGTGATACCCTGAATGTGTGCGCTGATGTTTCCACGATTTCTGTTTAACATTTACAACACTGTATCGTAAAGTTAGAAGTGTGGAAAAGGATAAATAAATGGACTGGAGTTCAGCAGGAACTCAAACAGGGACACAGCTGGAAATTCTAACACCTAAAAGGACAGAGGAGCTTTCAAATCAATGTAAAGATAGAAAAGCAGTCTCTAAATAATGTAAAAAAACTAGACTTGCATTAAAGAAGGAACTGCTCAGGAGTTGTTGTTTTTTTCAGTTCTTGGTAATGAGAAAACATTACAGTAAGCTGAGCTCAGACTACAAGAGTTTTGGGTGGATTTAAATCTGTTTCATCCCCCTTACTGTTTGTCGGGTGTAGAAATCTGGTGTGGGACCTCGGGCTGTACTGACATCAGGCTGAGATTATCTGGTCATGAGAGGGCTTTTCAGTTCACCAAACAGCATGCAGACTCGGCCCTGATAACATCAAACATGTGAGGTGTTTAGGAGTTAAAGATATATGGATGCTCCACAAGGTTTATTTAGGGAACAATACACCACCGTATTCTTTATATACTGTACGTGATTATAACCTAATGAAGGAAAAAAACCATGTTAAAGATGGGCTGATGGGGCTTGATGGGCTGCACTCATGGTAAATATTGCGGCGTGTGTTTGTGCATTTTATACCGATATATTGGTCACACCGGTGTATAAGACGCAGTGCACTTCTTCAATGAAAAAACAGGTATTAAAAGTGCGGAATCGGAACCAGTTCTCTTCCACTCTACCATCGCTGCAACACCTGCTGGTTTACCGTTTTGCTTGGCAAACCCAGGGGTGTCCAAAACGGCCATGTGGGGGGGCCTTGAAACAGTCTACCTTCTCTGGTTCACACAAAAACAGACCCTTCAGGATTGTTGTTGTCAGAGAAGTCAGCACTTCAACATATCATATTTCCTTAATGTCTGATGATATAGTAAGGTCACTTCATGATTTATTTCGGTGGATATCTTACAGATTGGTCCTTTAAGGCTCCTGTAGTCTGAGCTCAGTAACTGTTTTCTTTCTGCTGTGGTAAACTGGAGATGTTTGAGTCAGATGATTGTGAACCAGGCTGTTGTCCAACAATAACCTGATATGCTTCAGTAAATCAAAAGATGGAAATACGTTTTCATGTCAAATTTCTCGAAGTACCGTAAATAACACAATGAAAGGAATTTCTGTATTCAGAAAAATGAATTGCTTAAATCAGTATGAACCTATTTTCTGGTTTGTGTGTGTATATGTGTGTGTGGATGTTGCTTCCCTTCACCAGGGGCCCGTTTCTGAAAGAAGGTTTTGTGTAAACTCTGAGTCAGTTAACTCTGAAATGAGGGAAACTCTGGGTATTCCGTTTCAGAAGAGATCACTCAAACCCGTTTCAGAGGGTGAGTTTACTTTACCTCTGAGTCAGTTACTATGGTAACTGAGTCTGTGAACCTAACCTGGTCGGGAGCAGGTTTTCTTCAATGATCCCTGAGTTTCTCTCGGTCTCCTCCCTCTTTCAGAGCCAGAAACGCCGTTTCATTTCCTCATTCTTTCATTCAGTCCGTATCACGCCGTGTCAGTGAAGATTCACCGGATGTCTGAATAAAAATCCAGGTTGTTTTAATATGATATGTTAGGGTGGCAATAGCCTACTACAGCGTATAAAACAAACTATTTTATCGAACATGGCGTCTTTTAGTCGATCCTCGGTATGAAGGGGCTGCATTACTCCGTAGGGAATTAGCCTACATTTACATCGGGAGATGTTATTTTAATTAGGGTTGATTAATAAACTAAACAGGATAAAGGTGAGAGGACATTTAGACTATGTGTGTGAATAGAGCTTTATGTTGAGGATAAAGTTAATGCACATTCAAATAAACTCTGAAAAAAGTTAACTTTAAATCTATATGAGCCTATTATGTTATTATATTTAATTTGGAGCTGTTTAAAAGTCGATTTTCTTCTGCTGGATTACATCTTAATGAAAATAAATTGTATAGGTTTAATAGCCTACCATTCCATCAGTTTTGACCTGCAATATTATAATTCTGATTAAATATTAAATTAATAGACTTTGTGAGCAGCTGTTTTCTCTTACACCTCTTTTCTCTCCTTTGCCGCTGCAGCAGTGTTACTTTTTTTTCCTTCTTAAAACCTGTTCATATTCGCTGTAGCCTATGGCCACGTGAAGATATTGATATATTTCGAGGTGGTTAAGGTTAAAGTAGGAGGATCTCTTTTTTTGTAACCTGTTGCCATGGTAAATCGTAGAATCGGGGCTCCAGTCATGTTGGCTTTTATCGCGCTGAACACCGAGTGGACCTACTCAGAGTTGATTTAACTAATTCAAATCTGCTGATCTGGAACCGAAAACTCAGTTTCCCACCTGAGAGCAAATCAACTCAGAGCTCAGGGTTAGACTGAGGGTTTGTTGAACCATCTTTCAGAAACGGGCCCGTTCTATTTCTCAGAAATGGCTAGATTGTGTTAAACTGATAAATGAAAGTACACCTCACTCACTGAGAAATTATTTTCTATATCTGCTTTTTTATACACACAACTGATTTTCTCAAAGTTGAAACTCAAGACAACCTGAGTTCTCACTTATGACTTAAAGAAAGCTGTGATCAGTTTTATTGGATCTCGACACAGAGTTGACCACGTTCCAGTTGCAGGTTAGACAAGTAACATGGGGTACCTGTGCTTTGTTAGCTAATACCTGATGTTGACATCACACTATGATAGTTTGCACGTAAAAAATAACATTGCAACATGTGCAAATAAACAAAATAGTTATAGCTTGAATGGTACTGTTGATGCACGTAACGGCCATCTTGGATTTCCTTTCTGACTACACAAGTTGCTGAGTTTCCGAGTCAGAATTCCGACTTAAGGGGAGCGTTCCTTAAAACACCAGACCCATAACTTAATGTCCTATAAATTATCCAAAATAATAAAGGTGAATACATGATTTAATATCCAAGCAGCTGGGTGTTTTTTTTAAGCATGGTGAAGAAAAAGAGCGAAGACAAAGCATTTAAAAAACAATATTTTTTATCAGATTTTCTGGTTTCAGTACAGGTGACAAAAACAGAATAAATAACTTAATATCTACAGAGAACTATTAACAGATTTTTGTGTACATCATTTACAGTTTTACATGTTTTTATATTAACATTTTTGTCATTTTTAGCTTTTTTTGACACAGTCAGCATTATTTCTTTCAGAACAACATCCTCTCCGAACCAAACTTTTTTTTTTTTTTTTTTACGCTACATCCTAAAGTTGGCAACTTTGACTTTTATAGCCAGAGTCATACACACACACATCCACAAACACACACTTGTTAAATATTTTGTATATCTGAACACCCCGCGGTGTGAGCAGGGTTTGAATCTGAGGGGAAAGGTGTCAGATCTGTCTTCACTGCCTTTAAGCAAGGCACTTTGAAAGGGTTGCCTTGATCTTTGATTCCCTTCAGACTCAAACTCAAATCTCCAGTCTGCCCATTTAACACTTGAAATGAGTTGAAAAGAAAACTGTGCAAATGAATCTTTTTTTAAAAGAAGAGAGCAGCTGTGATCAGTCATCTCTAGAGATGCATCTCCCTCTCAGAATACGCGTGTTCATTTTGAAATGTTCCCTGGGTATTAAAGACCAAAAACATAGATCAAGAGACCCCACAAGACCTGATGGAGTCTAGAATTTATGCAGGTCCCATGCAGACTAATGAAGTCTAGATCACACTGGAGTCATTAACCAAGAATAACAGGCCACGATACATGACCACAGCTGCTCTCGCGTTCTGTGCATCAGAAAAGAACTCCTCCTCACTCTTACTAAAAACAGTCTTAAGATTAATAACAGTCAAAAACATTCTGATAAATAATCACATTTTAGCCTCTTTTTTTCTTGTTGACAACAAGAACCGTTTCTGATCTCACATCGGAGTCTTGAGAGTTTCCTCATATCTGACTCCACTCTGCACCGTGAAGACCCGACGCCGCAGCCAAGTCAACTGAATTTTTATCTAATGGTCGTCGTGGAATGTGACATCTCAACATGCACCGACACGTCTACAAACTAAAAAATCTAAATCTACCAGGAAGAGTCCCGGGGGAGCTGCTCAGCTGTTTTGTGCGATTCCCCACCAGCAGCACCAGAGCGAATTAAAAGAATAATTTAAAAAGGACGGGTTTTTTTTTTTTAAGGGTAAAGAAGTGAGAGGGTGGAGGTGGTGAGGCACATGGTGGCAGCAGAGGCTTCAGACGTGGAGGTGTTGGCGGTGTTTTTGGCGGTGGAGGTGCAGGGGGAAGTAGGGTCCTTCGGCGTCGCTGCCCGGAGAGCTGCTGAGGGACTCCTCGCCTGAACTCATCATATCCTCGCATGAATCCTCACTGTGGAAACACAACCAGAGACACACGGTTACTACACTGGAGTTTGATGCCATGTTTTAAAAAATAATACAGTCTGTTATTTTAGTTTTAATCGTTAACATTATCATAAAAACCAAGATTATCGGTCACATTTTGAACCGAAAGATCGCTCCGTCTTCATTACACTAATATGTTAGCAATGCAAGGTTGCCGATGCATATGTGAAATTAAGACAGTGTGCTGCTTTTTTTGGTACTCAAACAACAAATTAAACAATACTGGGTCCGTAGGACTTCTATTTTGGTGGACATGGTATATTATTCCCTTTCTGGTATCATGACCATCCTACTTGAGTTTTCAAATATCTTTTAGGAACAATGTTTGTCCATGCCTTTAAAAGTCTAAAATTTAAAGGCCTTAAAATGTTTTAATTATGATGTAAAAAGTCTAAAACTTAGAAGGTTTAAAACTTTATTTGAGTTGATTTAAATCTCTTTAAAATGTGCTTTGGGGAAAAGTTAGAATTGATCATGTTGAAATAAAACTACAAAGCTAAACCGCTCATATACAATGTGATCGCTGTGTGGCATAAAAAGTTAAATGTTTCTGTCAACATCACTTCATCTTTTATGGGTTAAGTACAAAGTAAAGTAGACTTGGTGTTTACTTTAGAAACCCTCTTAAACATGAATCTGAACCAGGACAGGTTTATAAAAGTAAATATTTCACTGAATTTAAAAATATAAGCGCCAAGTTTTTTTTTTTAAATGTTCAAGGCTTCAACGTGTCCTAAAATAAGTTTGTGCTTTTATGACTGACGGTCTTTTTGTGACACACGTGGTTCCTTATTT